TTTGAGATGTATTTCATAATTGCCGATTCGAGCCACGCTGGCACCTTTGCTCTAGCGACCACAGCGTCGGTCTGCAGGTAGGGCAGCCCTCCACCTTCAGACCAAAATGTCTACGTATATATTCATTGTCCCTTGAGGATGAAGCCTACAGACTTTTGTGATCCTCTGACCTCTAGTTTTACCACAATGTGACATTTGCAGTGCCGAGTGAAACAGCATCATTGCTTTTAGATGGATCGCCATTAAGTTAGCCAGAGATCCTCTCAATTTACCTTTTGCACGACCAGCAGGTAAAAAATGATCCTCAGAGGATGTATTTTAAAAGCTAAAATACCCTGATTTTTCATCTGGTTTGTCTGATACTTTGTTTATTGACCTGCAGAACAATTGGCTTTTCCATCAGCCTCAGATCCACTTTATCGTCAGATAAGAAGGTGAACATGGTCAACATTACACCGGCTACATCAACTTGTTAACATTGTCACCATTTGCATGTTATCATTCTGATGTGAGGGTACTATCTCAAAGCTCAGTCACACAGATCCGTTGACGCTTAGTCTTGTCCAACAAAGTCTTTTACAGAAGCTGTTTTAACTTGTTCCTCTTGATAAGTTGTGTGTTATAAGTCATAAGTCATCCGATTTGTTTTCCCGATGTGTAGCACACAAGCGGAGCCCCAAAGGCCCCTCGTTCTTCCTTTGATTTCAGCTCCGTGCTGCAATTATATCAGCAGCCCAATCAGAACTTGCTGTGGCAAGTACCCACACCTTCGGCACACCCAAAATGACACCGAGCTTTGTGTGCTGTCATTTGTCTTTCAACAGAATGGTTGAGCCCAGCCCTGCAGCGCTGCACCTCCCGTCCAGCGGGGATGTCAGCATGGCGTGCGTCGGTGTCAAAGTGGAACAGGAGGAGGTCGCCGGAGGGGTTGGAGTCATAACCCACGGCGACCCCCTAAAGAGGTCTCCCTCGCGGGATTGGTCGGAAAATCATCCGCTGGAGGCCCGCCAGCTGACCCCACCGCTCTCACGCTCTCCTTCGGTGAGGACATAAATGGCGCGACGAGGGTCCAGAGAGGGGTATTTATGTCGACGTGGCAAGCGTCACGCCGAACCGGGAAATTAAAAATGTGTTGTTCTTTTCTGTGCTCCCAACAGGAGGGCTCTCTGGGTAAGGAGCAGCCCCACAGGCAAAGCCCCATGGGACCGAGGGAGTCCAGGGTGCACGATAGACCGGAAGCACAATCCAACTTCAAGGAAGGTCCGTCTCGCTGATGTAGATGGAGCTGTAATCATATGCAGACTGCAGACATCTATACACTAAGCAAAAAAAGTTTTTGTCTATTTATACAGGATTCATAATTCGGAATAAACGGAAGTGACCCTGTTTGGAATGTGGAGGAGTGATGCATACGTCACTTTACGGTCTATTTGCCTCTAAATGGACCAAAATCGACTAAATTACCACCGTGCTGTATTGGCGATTAAGACCATAGACTCATGTTTACAATGTTTACTGAGGTAATAAATCAAGTGAGAAGTAGAGACATTTTCTTCTATAAAGTCCGACCTTTTTTTGCAACCGGAGGTGTCGCCCCCTGATGGTCCGTACAGAGAATGTTTTACGTTTTTCACGCCGCCGAACCGCAGGTTGGAGCCTGCTCTCCACATATTGCCTGTGGTATTTAATGTGCAAACACTGATCAATGTAAACTGGAGTTGATGCACTTTATAAATAAGCGTTCTCTTTTATTCGGCACTCAGTAGCACGAGAGACTGACTCGACATTTGAACCTGCATTGAATTCACCTCAACAAGTACTCAGCAGACATTGGTATCAATGCACCACAACCACGACCAGAGTGCATATCTTCTGTGTGTCCGTGCGCTGCATTCTGCTATGCAGCTTTAAACAATGCAGTCTCTTGAAAAATCGATGCGTAGAAGTGTTTTTCCTCCTGAATGGGTTTTTGGAGGGATCTACGTGCTTTTTGTCTGATTCCGTTCAATCTCCCCACTGATTCAGAGACTCCCCCTGCCCTCCAGTCTTTCACCAGCACCGCACTCCTTTCCCCCCCGCCACACATTTAGTTTTTCTCTCTCAAATTCTGTCAACTCGCCGACCTTGGATTGTTCTCTGTCCAAATATCGATCCACTCAAACACTCCAAACTTCTCCCGGAGACGCAAACAACCTCTGCCCTTCGGCACCTCGAACGTCCTCTTCAATCAATGCCATTAGGGGAGGCAGGAGAGGCCCAGAATGCAGTTTTTAGTGTTGGATGGACTTGAACGGAAAAATATGTTCCACGCCGTCTAGTGTGTCTTTGCTGAGTACCTGTTTGTTCTGTTAACAGTAATGCCCACAATTGAGAAGCTGCTGAATACCAACTGGAAGGAGAAACTTCTGGATAAAAGCTCAGTGGAGGCAGGACGACTGAAAGGTCAGCTCTCAGACACCAACAACACCTCTATAGCGTCTCTGCTCCACTTAAATACACGATTGTGCAAATACCAATGCAATGCACTTCATCGGTTACATGAAACGACTTACACAAAAGATAACTGTATCTCTAAAATCGGAGTAAGTTGGGACGTAATTCCAACGAATCGTAGCTGTGCCACACTTTTTGCAGCTATCTGAGGATATAAATATTCATTAATCTCTAACTGGTCATGGGAGGCAAAACCTTTCACTTCAGTTTGAAGTTTGACCTTCTGACCCCCCCCCCCCCCCCCCCTCCCGCTGAACCCCCTCCACCCCAGGTACCCCAGAGGCTCTGGCAGAGAAGGAGCTCCAGCTGTTGATGATGATCAACCAGCTGAGCGGTCTGAGGGAGCAGCTCCTGGGAGCCCACTCCGAGCAGAGGAACATGGCCACCCTGCTGCTGGAGAAGCAGCAGCAGCAGATGGAGCTGGCTCGGCAGCAGCAGGAACAGGTACCAGCCGAGGGAGGGGGGGGGGTCGGATCACGAACCGGACCCAGATACTATGGAGGCCCAAAAAAATAGATCAGGGACTAAAAAACTTCCGTATTCAGCTCTCAGCACAATGTGTAAAATGTGTGTGTGTCTCTGTGTTCTCAGATTGCCAAGCAGCAGCAGCAGCTGATCCAGCAACAGCACAAGATCAACCTGCTTCAGCAGCAGATCCAGGTCAGCCCTGTGACCTCCAGAGGTTTCTCCCATTAGACATTATGTCATTGCAGCGCCGCAGCCTCTGAGGAACGAGCTTTCATGTGTTTGTCCCAGCAGGTGAACATGCCCTACGTGATGATCCCAGCTTTCCACCCCAACGCCCAGTCGCTGGCCGTCACCTCTGAACCCCAGATGACCCTTCCGCTGCAGCCAATCCCCTGCAAGCCAGGTCAGTCTTCCACGCATCCTTAGGGAGGTATGGGTCCCCCCCCCCCCCTTGCAAACCATACATCCATTTTTTCACAGGAAAGAATGTACTGTAGTGTACTGTTATATTTATAACAATCTAAAAAATATATATAATTCATTAAGTACTTATTGCAACCAGGAATTGACACACGGAGAACACTCTCCGGAATAAATACATAATAAAGTAAGTAATGAAAATAAAACAACACAAAAATAGATTCAAAAAATAAATTAATAAGAAATAAACCGTTTTCTACTGTTTGTTGAGCAGCTGCTCATTCGTCCTCCGCAGGCCATGTTTACATATAAGAATAATAAAGAAATGTCATGAAATGTACCTGTGGAGGCTGAAGTTATGGAGGCTGAAGATAGGGAGGCTGTAATTATGGAGGCTGTAGTTATGAAGGCTGTAGCTGTGGAGGATGTAGTTATGGAGGCTGTAGTTGTGGAGGATGTAGTTATGGAGGATGTAGCTATGGAGGCTGTAGCTATGAAGGCTGTAGTTATGGAGGATGTAGTTATGGAGGATGTAGCTATGGAGGCTGTAGCTATGGAGGCTGTAGCTATGGAGGCTGTAGCTATGGAGGATGTAGTTATGGAGGCTGTAGCTGTGGAGGCTGTAGCTGTGGAGGATGTAGTTATGGAGGCTGTAGCTATGGAGGATGTAGTTATGGAGGATGTAGTTATGGAGGATGTAGCTATGGAGGCTGTAGCTATGGAGGCTGTAGCTGTGGAGGCTGTAGCTATGGAGGCTGTAGTTATGGAGGCTGTAGCTATGGAGGATGTAGTTATGGAGGCTGTAGCTATGGAGGCTGTAGCTATGGAGGCTGTAGTTATGGAGGCTGTAGCTATGGAGGCTGTAGCTATGGAGGCTGTAGCTATGGAGGCTGTAGCTATGGAGGATGTAGTTATGGAGGCTGTAGCTATGGAGGCTGTAGCTATGAAGGATGTAGTTATGGAGGCTGTAGCTATGGAGGCTGTAGTTATGGAGGATGTAGTTATGGAGGCTGTAGTTATGGAGGCTGTAGCTATGGAGGATGTAGTTATGGAGGCTGTAGCTATGGAGGCTGTAGCTATGAAGGATGTAGTTATGGAGGCTGTAGCTATGGAGGCTGTAGTTATGGAGGCTGTAGTTATGGAGGCTGTAGCTATGGAGGATGTAGTTATGGAGGCTGTAGTTATGGAGGCTGTAGCTATGGAGGATGTAGTTATGGAGGCTGTAGTTATGGAGGCTGTAGCTATGGAGGATGTAGCTATGGAGGCTGTAGCTATGGAGGCTGTAGCTATGGAGGCTGTAGTTATGGAGGCTGTAGCTATGGAGGATGTAGTTATGGAGGCTGTAGTTAGGGAGGCTGTAGTTAGGGAGGCTGTAGTTATGGAGGCTGTAGCTATGGAGGCTGTAGCTATGGAGGCTGTAGCTATGGAACTCAGAAAAGCCGCCCCTTACAAGCTCTGCCCGTCGGTGACCTCGTCTTTATTCATCTTTTCAAAGCTAAAAGACACAAGGCCAGTCTGTAGAACATTGGCATTCATTGCTTTTATGGAACTTGTGTGCGTAATCTTTTGACAGAATGTAAAAGATGTTTGAAGGACTGTTGGATTGTGTGGAGGAGGTCAGCTGGGGAATGAAAAGGAAGAAGTGAACCGTTATGTTTCATTTGGTTTCTCGCTTTTATCAGTTTTCTCATTTGCTTTTAACTTCACCATCAACTTGAAGGCTCTATGATTAATGACAACATGTGATTTGTTGAATAGCTCAACTAGCCTAATCCTTCACTAAGAAATAAAGTGGACGTTATTCCATTATTTCGACCTTGGTGACGAGAGAGAGGACTACTTACGCTATGAATTCAGCAAACACCTTTGAAACCCATTGAGCCATATTGTTTCTATTGTATAAGTCTCTCCCTTTAATATCTTAGGTAAGACCGCATTTATCTTCCTTTGCTTCAGAGTGATGTTGGATTCAAGGTTTTTTTGCATTGGTGATGAAGAATTTGAATTTGTCATTTCAATGTATTGGTTTGAGAGAAATACTGCCTGAAACAAACCCTGTAATAATAATAAATATATATATATAATAGTATTGCACCCTTAAATCAGTCTGCATTCTACAAAAATAAGATGCTTTGCTCAAAATGTCCAATAAATTTATGAGGGACACATTCGTAAATAATGGATTGAGGCTGCTGGTATCACCTTGAGTTGTGACCTCCAGCCATGCCATGTATAATATACTGTATACTTATAGTTTTCAATATTTCTTTCAATCCCCCTGTGAAATGCACCCTCGACGGTTCCTCACAAGTTGCTAACCGTTAGCTTGCTTTAGCTGCTCAATGTCACTAAACTCTGTGTTCCATTGCAAAGCGGAGAAACCACACCGGCGTTTTTAGTCTCCTTGGTTTTTCATACACACAATTTTACGCCATCCACAGCCGTGGACTATCCCATGCAGCTGCTGCAGAACTCTCACCCCGCCTCCGGCAAGAGGAGCGGCGGCTCCTTTCGTCAGGTAAACTAGAGTATACTCGTTGTGTGTCATCGATTTCATTGTTTGTCTCAATGTGACAAACCTGTTTCCCATATCCTTGTAAGACAGCCGTAGGTTACCGCCAACATTGTATGTCGACAAAGCATCTTAGAGTAAAATTGTTTATTCAATGTACACAGTGTGTATATACTATACACACATATGTTTTCACAGAGGATAAAGGAAGTGATTCCCTGCGGATAATGAACTACTCTGGTATTTGGGAGTTTGAAAAGGCTTTTCAAATACACCACACCCTCCGCTCAATGTGTGTGGTATATGTGTGTGTGTGTGTGTGTGTGTGTGTGTGTGTGTGTGTGTGTGTCTGGTGTGAGCTGTATTTGAGCGGGAGGTTCTCAAACCGAGAAAGACCAACACAGCTTAGACAAACAAAAGGGAAGATAGAATGAGGTGAACGCAAAGACAAAAGACCAGCGACGACACAAAGGTGTGACAGATGTGCTCCGACATGCTAAATCTGCAGCGCATAACCGGAATCCCTCGCCCCTTGGCATGCGCTCCCCGCCCCTGCTCACCTGCTCTCGCTGTGTGTGTGTGTGTGTGTTCAGGAAGCCAGTCAGCCCTTAAACCTGACCTCCAAGCAGAAGGGGCTGGAGCGAGGCAAAACACCCAGTCCGCACGGCATGGAGCTGGGACCGCTGGCGCTGTACGGGTCCTACAGGCCCCGGGACCTCCAGAGAGAGGTGTCCCGCAGCCCGCAGCGATCGGCCCTCAGTGAGTCGCGCACGTCGCATCGCCGCAGCTCCCCACAGATGCATGAATCCAACAAGTGTTTTTTGTTTGAACTTGGTTCCATGTAAGGCCTGTGACTTCTCAACTGGGCTCATGCACTCCCAATCCCCCGCACTTAGAAAGAAAACGTCTATTTATAGTTGAAATTCGACCAACGACAGAACAGTTTGCTCACGCGTGATGTTTGTTCACAATATTTAGTCCAGTGTTAAACGTTGCAGCGCGGACACAGACGGAACCAAGGGGCAGAGTATCAACATTGCGTTTAGTCACATTTAACTACACGCGTGAGCATTAATCACAATATTTTTACATAAGTACTGTACATGTCAAACAGCACACGTAAAGGCGGAAACTAATGCTGAAGCATTAGCACGACATCACAGGCATTTCCCTTTAAGCCATCATTAGCATCATTACAGTAAACAGTAAAGTCTTTGACCTCGATCTAACAGGTTAGTCAACATACGCGACAACACCTGGTCATTAAACCCAATAAACACAACGAGCAATGCACCGCTGTTGTTCAAGTGTTCATCTGCCAAAAAAGAAACTGTTATCGATATCTTTTAATTTACGTACTTCTATTGTTCATACTTAATAATACGGTTTTGCAAGAACCGCTTCACAATAAAGGACACAAAACACAAATGTATGTTTATAATTTACAAAATAAAAGCTTGTATTAAATGGTTTGTAGAAAGTATTCACCTTATTAACAAAACCTTTTGACAGTTTTTTACTTTGAGAAATAGTAGCTCATGTTCACAAATATTCTTTGAACCTTTCAATGCTCTGGAAATAAGTGAATTCAGGAAGCAATCCCCTAAATAGCTGAGAAGCTAAAGAGCTGCAGAAGCTCAGAAATAGTTACACCTGCAGTGTTACATTGACGGACGCAGCACATCGATGAGGCCTTGGGAACCAAATGGGCAAACGTTAAATATACAGCAGGAATCAAGGGTAGTATCGCTTTAAGAAAGAGGCGAGGTTCATTGTTTTCTGTCTTTCCCCTTCCTCCTTGACCTTTGTTTTCCGTCTTCAGCTTTCCTCGGAGACGGCGATGTGGTCACCCAGGCCATCCACGACGCCCAGCAGCTCCTGAGGGGCCACAGCGCCTCCGGGCGAGAGAAGGACAGGGAGAGAGAGAGGGACGGTGGTGGGAAGATGGTGAGATGATGACCAATCGCCCACAAGTCCACACACACACACACACACACGGCCGCAAGGTTTCCGTTCAAAGTCCTCTTCATACACGCGCTGCTTTATGTAAATTATGTTGGCAAATTCACATTATTTTACATAAAAGTCAGAAAGACTTTTTCACTTTATTCTCCACCATTCTTCTCTTTCTCTTTTCTCTGGTCGTCAGTGAAGAAATATTTTCTTTGTGTCTGAACACCTGTTGAATTTAAGCCCAGCATTCACTCGTTTTGCTCCGTTCTCCATCTCCACCAGCTCGTGAGGAAAACGTAAGTCACTTCTTTAGCTGCTAGATGAACTCTGCTGATGCCAAAATCACCGCTTGGATTGTTGATTGCAGTTGAAGTCATTGGCGTTGATCGCGGTTACCTCTTATTTATTACTATTCCTATTATCTGTTGAGTGTTTGATCACCAATGAAATGTTGAGGACGAAACCGGCCTCTAGTGGCCGGGATATTGCAAAAGAGGAAGTCAGGCGACAAAGTCCGTAACGGGACTTTCACCCGGGGGAGCGCCGGTGGTGTCCTGCCTGAAACCTGAAACTCTTATTTTGAGTCGTATTTGCGTACCTAACTATCGTAACATCGTTTTCTAATTTCAAGCCAGGGATCATTTCCCTTGTGGAAGAAGCGGCTTGGTCTGTCTGAAGCATTACAAAAGCCAAGTGATGACATCACAAATAACGTCCGTGAGCTGCGAGAGGCAAATAAAGAAGAGCGTTTCTGACCCACAAAACCTCACTTCACTTCTACTTTTAACCCGCAGAGTCTAAAGCCTTTTTGACTCATTTAATTATCCTGTGATTGTACAGAAGAGGTCAGAGTATCTTTCAAGCCGTGATGTAATCATTACGAGGAAACGGAGGGGTCCGGTCAGCGGTCAGACTCGGGTTTAGGGTTACAGGATCTGGAGCCTCGCACAGAAGCCCATTGTAACAGCTCCGCGGTATCCGAGTGTGGCCTTCTGGAGAATAAACAGACAAAGACAAAGAAGTTATGTGTCTGTTGTTTCTATTTTTAGTGATTGAAAAGGGGCCTTGATTCAGTGTCCCCTGACAAAGACGGGATCCGCCGCTCTCCCTCTTTTGTGCGCGTGCAGTCGTGTGCGACGGCGAAATAGCACACGGCGACTTCAGTACGGAGCAAAAACGCAAGCGGCGCTTTCGGGGAGGACCGCACATCCTGCATCGGATCCGGAAGCCCCGTGCCATTATTTTTGTTTTGGTTCTTGGTAAAAAAAAAAAAAAAAAAAGTTTCCTATTCTAGTCTTGTGGTCCTCCGTTGTCCCGAGTGGAAGCTTTGGTGTGAGCCTTGTGCCAGGCAGGGCAGCAGCTGTCGCAGCCTCACAATAACCACAAAGGCCTCAGTGTGGCATTGACTGAGCCACCTGCCCGCTCTCTCTTTGTCCGCGGTAACACTGTACCCTGTAGCTCTCCTCCATTATCCCCACTCCCATCTCGCCGCCGCTTCAACACCAATACCAATGAGTGACCTATTTTGGTATTACACTCCAGCGAATGGGAGATCCGTCGTGTTTTACAGCGTGGGAGGAGGGGGGGGGGGGGGGGGGATGATTGATACGCCGACGGGGTGGTGGTTTACATTCCCAAATTTCTCCTCCCCTTCACCTCTCGTCCCTCACACAATAAACACCATTCTTCTTCCCCTTCCTTTGCATTTACTGCTCTGCGTTTAAACAGCAGCTGATATGGTGAGAGCGCAGCGCCTTTACCTTAATAGCGCTCTGCGCTTTGAACGCGCCCCCCCCCCCGGAGCCCGCCGTCCGCTCGGTGCCCAGCGGGCTTGCCGGTGCTGGATGCGCGCGTGAAGTCCTCCGTCTCTGTGCTTCTTTGTGTCCTCAGGAGTATAAAGAGTCCCCCCGCAACGAGAGGACCTGGCCCTCCCAACGAGGTGAGGACCACCTGAGCAGTGACTCCCAAGGGAGGTGTCCCCGCAGGAACCGGTGTGTTAACGACGAGGGGGTCCGAAAGATTTACCTCTAATCACATCTTTCTCCAAAGCTCGAAAATATGAAAGTAGTTACGCACTCACCTAGTAACATATGTTATCCCGTTATTTATGGAGGTAGTTACTTACTAACTTAATTACCTAGTAGCATACTGACTGCATAGTTATGTAGTTACTTTTGAGATACATCCGTACTAACATAGCAACTAACACATTTGCTTTCATATGTGCTAATTCAGGTTCATACGTTTTCTATATCCAAAATCCCCAAATTTGCATCAGGAGTTTCAGTATCAGTACACACACAACATCCTCTGTCCCGGGACTCCCACATCGGCACGCGTCGTGATTACTAGGACGACGAGAAAAAAACGTAAACAGGAGTTGTAATAAGTTCCTTGCGCAGACGACAGGTTAAAAGGTACCAACAGGAATGAAGGGGGGCGGGAGGGGGGGGCTTGGTTTTACATCATAAAAGCAGCAGTTTGGCAGCGGACTTGTGACTGTAGCCCTTTTTTCCCCTGCAGGTGCGCTGCCCGTCTCGGGCCCAGGCAGCTACGTTGAGGTCCGGCCGCCTCCCTCCTCGGGCCACATCAAGAGGCCCATGAATGCCTTCATGGTTTGGGCCAAGGACGAGCGCAGGAGGATCCTGCAGGCCTTCCCCGACATGCACAACTCCTCCATCAGCAAGATCCTGGGTGAGCCGCTGAGGTCATGGGAGGTCACCAGCAGCCACCTGCTTGACCCACCGGACACTCACACACACACACACACACACACACACACACACACACACACACACGTACTGGCCCGAATCCGCTTCCTTGGACCAAACATTTACATTCCATTCCACTATTGTGCTGAGCTTGTTGTTGTTGGGAGCAACAACCCTTCACACAGACACACAAAGAATCTGGACTAATTACACAAGTGTACTGCTAATCATTGTAAAGATGCTTCATCTCAATCTACATCTGCTGTATGTGTGCAGCACACCTTCAACTCAACCAATCACATCTTCTGAGATTCACCCTCATTTGCCAAGACAAAATCATAACAAGGCAACGTATGAAGTTGCCACAATTGCTGGGTAATTATTTTTGCCAGTATTATAATGGTTTAATATATAATCCTTATAACACATTACAATGTCATCATAAGCAGCTCTATGTGGTCTGGTTGTGTGGACCAGGATCACCAGGAACATTAATGAAAATGTAGCGGCTGTTAGAAAATACACATTTTAATGTAACATTTTAAAGGTTTCAGACTAGATAATAATAAAAATGTTTGACTGACTGTGTGCACTCTGACAGCCCACAGACGGTGGTTAATAATAACCTATAGCCTGTATCTAACAACACGTCGCTGTTACGCTGACGGGCTGGAAACGAAATAAGTGAATAACTCATTTAGTGACTCAATGCTAGAACCCACCTCCTCCACCCTGCGCCCCCGCTGTCCTACACCCGCCCCTCTAATGCGTCTGGGCCCTCAGGCTCGCGGTGGAAGGGCATGTCCAACCAGGAGAAGCAGCCCTACTACGAGGAGCAGGCCAGGCTGAGCCGACAGCACCTGGAGCGCTACCCCGACTACAAGTACAAGCCGCGGCCCAAGCGCACGTGCATCGTGGAGGGCCGCAGGCTGCGCGTGGGCGAGTACAAGGCCATGATGAAGAACCGCCGGCAGGAGCAGAGGGCCACCTACACGCACAGGTACGATGAACGCAGGCCGCCGGAGTCCGCGGCAGATCCCCAGGCGGCTTATTTCCGGGCGGTGCGTCCGTGCCGATGAGCGGCGCCCCTCGCCGTTGTTCCCCTGCTAATTGGCTAACTCGCTAGTTGGAGTGATTTGTTCTTACTGATATTCGTCTGCAGCGTTTTTTTTCCCTTTGCGTCACGGATAAATGTACAGCGTCTTTTAGACTGCTGAATGAATCCTTCATGACGGCCTTGGCCTTCCTTTATGATTTATTTTATTTAAAAGAAATCATAAAGTTATATATAAATAAATATTATATATAACACTTTTTTATTACCCATGAGCCTCGGGTACCGAGAGATTCACCCCTAAAGCCAAACTAAGCACCGCCCAGCGAGTCTGTCGCTCTGACAAACACACAAATGCCTTACACCCGTGTCCCCCCCCCCCTCCCCTCCCCCCTCTCCAGTCAAACAGAACCACAGCAGCTGCACTACCCGCACGCCAACGACCAGTACCCGGGCGGCGCCGGCGCGGTCTCCGTGGCGACCGTGCCCTTTCACCCGGCGCTGCTGGAGCACTACCTGCCGCAGGTCCCCCCTGCACTGCGTCGGGTGGAGGGCCAAGCCACGCCCACTTCCCTGCCCCGGGAGAGGGAGCGCGAGAGGGAGCGCGAGAGGGAGCGCGAGAGGGAGCGCCCCCCGTACAGCGAAGGAGAGGAGAGCGACAGGGGAGAGAGGAGCGAGGGGGAGCTGGTGCTCCTGACGGACTGAAGGGGGGGGGGGAAGAATGGAAGGGAGGGGTGAGAGGGAAATGGTGCCCCTTAATTGATTGACAGTCAGATGAAAAAGATGGAGGATGGATGGATGGAGGGCGGGCAGGTGGGGGTCCGGCGATCAGAGTTCAGAGGTGCACGTAGTCACTTGTACATTAGTCGTTTTCAGTGAAACGCTGCCCTTCACACACACACACACACACACACACACACACACACACACACAGATAGATCCCTTATCTCACTCGTTTCCCTTCAGACATTTCACCAGCGACTTTGCGTAGAATACAAAACGTTTTATGGTTCAATCCCTCATGATTGGAGTTCTGCCCCCCACGTCTTGGCACCACGTCGTGGTGTCGGGGAGGCGCCGTTTAAACCTGTTGGACCAGCTGGAGCAGCGGGTCATCGGCGTGCCGGCACTGCTCCCTGCTGGCAATGAAAACACCCGGAGGATGAGGCTTCCGCGCAGCTTTCTTTAACACGAGGTTTCATGGAAGTTGTCGCGTTGCTGCACATTTCAGCAATTCAGTGTTGCATTTTTTTCATTATTAAAAAAAAATGGTAAAACTGAAGCCAGACTTTTATACCGCGGTACGGTTAAAGCTCCACAAACACTGGATGCTAAACTTCCCATAATGCAACTTTACACTGTGCTACATTTCACCCTCCATTGCTTGTGTTTTTTATATGCCCACTTCTCACCCCTGTTTTTCTGGCTCAGATCTATATTATAAAAAAGTTTGTAATCTCTAGCATCAAGTGAGATAATCCCCTGATGACCTCATTGGGGTCACTTTTCAGACTTTGAGAGCGATCCAGACAGAGAGACAGAAGACATTAAACAGATGTTTTCAGCTAGTTCTCCTTATGACAGTTGAATTTGCCTTATTTCATTGTTCCTCCAACGAAATCATTTTTACGAAGATGTTCACACTGAATCAACGATCTCCCACATCCGCTGTTCTGTTGAGCCGTGCTGTATATGCTGTATTTTTGTGTCTCATCAGTTTCTTCTGCACAACTCGTGGGTTCACCTCAAACACACCCCAATTCTTTATTTTTTATTTTTTATACCTCCATGTTTGCTACTTTGTGTGTTAATTGATTTTTTAAATTCATTTTACTAGCGTGCCAGACCTTGTTTCGAGATGTTGACATTCTAATGTTTCTCTCAAATTTCCTGAAGCTGCACTGGAATTATTTTCATATTTGAAAGGTGATTTTTACTCATCTTTTATTTTCCCGTTCCTCATCCATCGAGACAAAACGATCCCAAATTCCATGTGACAATGGCTGCTACAGAGATATGGAGAAGGTCAACCAACGGTTATGAGCTGCTGACCGCGCTGCCCATAAAACAACGGTTTTGGCTTGAAAGAACCACTGGAGAAACCAAAACCATCCACGAGTTGAAAATGCTCGGTCACGTGACTCACCGGGCTTCCAATTAGTGCCCGGAATTGGAAATCCGTAAAGCAGATCGACCACGACTCTTCTAATGTTCCTATAGAACACGGACATGTGTATGTAGACATCGCTGTTTGGTAGTTTTAAGTGACTTCTACGTCGCAAAGTTCCCCCGACTTCCCTCTCCCACATCCAATCAATCACAATCAATCAACAGGGACACAAAATACAACAGAACCCTTCTCCGTGTTCTCGTTCATTGGTAAGCTGTTTCGGAGATGCATTCTTTAATCTTTAAAGTTCATATTCCAACTCCATCGCCGACATCCACAACCGTGACACAAAATGTCAACTCAACCAACAGCGGATGATATTCAAAGCAATCAGTTTGGAAGCCTTTCTCCCGTCAATGGCACAGCGTTTAATGTGATGGCCGTAAGAAAACAAAGGCTGTCCTTGCCTCCCCGTTACGTGTTGCCAACCTCATCCAGTTTGGATAATTAGCTCAATCTATTCTCTAAACCGACTAATGACATCCTCCATCGTGCTGCAACGCTCGTGTCATTCAGGTTTGGCGATAAGAGCGTTAGCACTTAGCATACGCTACGCGCAGTAGCTTATGCTAATATATTACCATTGGCTTTTTTGGAGGCCGTGGCCAGCACTTCTGATGCTCACAGACAGTTTTGGAGTCACTCGATAACCACGTCGACCAATTTGACCGTTTAGCAAAAGCTCAGCGCTCCCGAGTGACAATAGGAACGATGCACCTGCAGCTCAATGGGGACAAAATCCAAACGGCTGTTAAAAAGACCCATTTCAGACATAGCGGCTCGGGCCTTGTCCCAAACAACCGGGTCAGGACCGCGTGGAGATGACGGCTTTTCGTGCACTGAGGTGAATATCAGAGGAAAATGTTTCTTATTTTAGCGGAGACGTGGTGAGGAGTCACCTGTCGATGCCCCTGCTGATGTAAATATAGAAAGAGACTTTATTTTGTTTATAAGAGCCTGTGTAATTTAAAGGTGTGTGTTTCTCTATGTTTTCAGAGTTTTGTGTTGGTTTTTTTCTTGAAAATAAATAAATTGGTTGTGTTAATTGTCTCTGGTATGATTTGTGTTGGAACAACATCTCAGCTGCTTAATTAGCATGTAGTGTAAACTGATTACGGGGTCGCGGGATTTATCTGGCCAGGCTGCCTCCTGGTGTTGACTGAGTCGTCCTTTCCGGCACATGCTGAAATACTGTCTGCATGACGAGAGGAAAGTCATTTTGGTTTACGTTTGCGCTTCCTAAAGGTGCGTATAAGCAATACAGTGAACAGTACCAAAAGGCACAGCCCCACGGAACGTTTATCAGTCACATTTCTATCCGCTCTGTGTGTCTCTGTGTGATGCTCTCAGTGCGGTTTTGTCCTTATGCAGCCGCCTCCAAAACCACGAGTTAAATTAAAATAGTTTGGCTTCGTTATAGAATTATTTGTATCCAAAAATGTGTTTTCTCATTCAAATATATAGTGCTTTAGGGATGATGTAGTTTCGTGGGCCAAGGTGGAAGTCACTACCACGGTTACCTCAACAAATGTTTTCCATGCAGATAAACTCTGATGTTCTGACACCACATCCATCTTCAGGAATTAACACCTCTTACATATTTTAGGGATGAATGCAATCCGCAGAACCTGCTGCTGTGTTTCTCTTTTAATGTATTGATTGTTTTATATCTTGAATGAAAGCTGCTTTGCTATAAACAGTCTATTAACCATTAGAAGCTGTGTGTGTGTGTGTGTGTGTGTGTGACAGCGCAGAACAGATGTGAGTCACCAGCTCACGAGTGTGTGTTTGCAGGACGTCCACCAGCGCATGTCCCCTCCTTCCTTCGTCCCGTTGAGTCACCCGATCCAACAGCACACAAACAGGAGGCCACGAAAACAGAATTCACAGAATCCCAGAACTTTCTGAGAGCACATCAATCAAAAGCCCAGAGACCATTTATTTAGTACTCTACTCTTTAATATTTACTGACAACTGTTAAATAATTCCTCTCGCCACTCTTACAGAGAAGAGGAGGACTGTACAGTGAGCGTTTCACAGTATTTCTTACAGTATTTACAAGCCTCTCCTTTAGCAGTTGATGAGCACATTTACAAAGTCACATCTGGGAGCGGAGTGCTGCGTCCCTTTAGACGGCGCTACAAAAAGTCAATATCGGCATACAAAGGAAGGAGCGGTTTTCTGTACAGTGATTTTTAAAATTACGTTAGTACACACGCACATAGTTAATCTCAAATGAACTGCAATGCAAACCCTCTGAAGCTTTTGGTGTGATTAGAAAATATTGATAGAACAAAAAATAAAAAAAAGTGCGAAATGCAGCGATAGAGGCAGTCAATAAATAAACCCTGTTTATAAACACCTTTAGAACCACACGGTCCGTTGGCGGGATTTGCAGAGGTTCTAATTCATTAATATATATTTCAATCAACACGATATATGTTTTTTTGGGATTATTCTGCGTTTGTTAGCACACTGAATACCATATTTTGTCCAAATCGGTTTTGAATACAGCCAATGTGATGCAGCTAAAAGCTCCCACTCTGATTCAGTCGTTGTCCAGGTGTGTGTGTGTGTGTGTGTGTGTGTGTGTGTGTGTTACATCTTGATGCCTACTGCACATTTGCCGCAGGTTCGTTGATTCATCCAGTGCAGTGAAGTGGGCGTGTACTCTGTGACATCACATGTCAGAAACACTGCTCTTAAACCCGGTGGTGTCATTATTTAAAGACACGTTAATCATTCTGAGAAGGAGCCACTGTGCCTTTAACACCCCGTGTGGTCACCGGCGTCCACGCGGTTCTCGGTGCGAGGATAAGGTCACTTTAAAGTTTTGACGCACTGTGTTACGAGATGATTTGGCTACCAAACGTGCGATATTAACGTAACACCGTGGGAAGGACGAGCAATGGGGCAAAGGGCTGTTACAGTAGCATCCATCTTCTGGGAGAAGAACAACCTCCATTCTGTGTGGAATGTTTTCAGCTCAACACCACAGCGAGAGCTGACCCGTCAAAGAAGGCCCGTGCCAGGCATTGAGGTCCACTCGGGGTCAGGGTCATCGGTGAGGTGGATGGAGAAGGTCATTGAGTGCAAACTGTCCTTTTAACTGTCCCGGCTGAATTCCTACCAGGCGAACAGGATTGTGTGTTCAAGCAGCAGGTTTTCTAATTTGGCTTTTGTCTGAAAATCTAAGAAGATTAATTTAGGGGCCTCTTGTCTTGATCCCCCCCCCCCTCAAATTAAAATCGCACCACTAATGCAGGAGAACACGAGTCATCACATGCGTACCACTTCTGCCAGGCTCCACCCCCATTCTCCGGCCCGCCGCGCTCGCTCTGCTGCTGCGGCTCACTCAGCTGCTGCGGCTCACTCAGTGAATTATTAAGCCCATCTGTTACATGAGACGAGCGGCGGGGGACAAAAGGTCAGGGCTGGGCGTGTCTGAGGGGGTGGAGACCCCCCCCGCGGCGGCGATTTGGAGCCCGGCCTGGAGGGGAGGATACGAGCCGCCGCATGAATGAATGCGTTCTGTTAATGAGAGCAGTCCAATCGGATGGAGACTCGTGTTCGGGATCTTTGGGAGGCCAGTCGGACCGACTGGTCAGCGTGAAGGTGTCCAACAGTCCAAGGACGACTATGGACGCTCTCAGCCCAATTTAAGGCAAGCAGAATAAAAAGGTGGGACGGCCCTGTGATGTAGCAATGGGCCATTGGGTGCTTGTTAAAAAAAAAAGGGGCACGTCATCTCAAACGTCACTGTCGGACGCTCAGAGCATCGGACGTAGTGGAGAAGGAGACGGTCCGGGGGGGGGTGGGGGGGGTTTTAATGGACCAGTAAACCAAAGTCCTTTTTACCAGTGACGTCATCCAGTCACAAAGCTCTGCATCCGAAGCTCAACTCACAACCTGCTGCACACGCTCCATCTGACCCCGAGAAATGTCCCATTACAGGACGCAAGGTGCCACTGAGCAGCGCGAGGAGGGCCTGAGGGGAGGAGGTGTGGGGCGGGCGGGGGGAGGGGGCGGGAGGTCCGTGACGGAGGCCGTGATTTTCCGACTGTCTTGCAACGTCCAAATGGAAAGTTAAATGGAACCATAAAAGTCAAGCGGGTGGAACACACACACACACACACACACACACACACACACACACACACACACACACACACACACACACACACACACACACACACACACACACACACACACACACACACACACACACACACAGTGGCGTTACACCGGCTCCCCTCTTCTTCTCTTTTACCCAGCAGCCACCTCTGCTCTCCTGCTGCGTATCACTTCAACGTGCAACGAAGCAACGTTCGCTGCAGCCACCTGAGATGTTAAATGATCCGTCTTTACACGAATGAATCAATAGCACACTGAGCTACTCTCCTTGAAGAGCTGTCCTCGTCCTCCGGGAGCTTCTGTCCGCTCGCACACACACAAGTTAGTTTCACATTCCATCTAGCAGCAGTTTGCTGGGAGTGACTACAAGAGGAACTGATGTCAACAGAGAATCATCGAGAGGAAATCCCTCCCCCCCCCGCGGTTTGATGCACAGGTGATTTCTGGAAATTGCTGAGCAGAAAAACTGCAGCAACAAGCAATTAGCATCAAATATGAAAGAAGTAATTTTTAAAAAGCTTTAAAATATCTGCAGACGGGAAATGCTCATCACACACAGCAGGTCCAAGGCCACGGCACCGAGGACACACACACACACACACACACCAGACTCTCCTTCAAGTCTCTCGTCCCACTTTTCTCCTTCATTACCGGCGTATCGCGCACCCTGAATGTCTACGCCTGGTTCGGCTGCACCAAAGAGGGACTGCAAGATGCCGGATATTATAGGCAAGACACACACACACACACACACACACACACACACACACACACACACACACAGACACAGACACAGACACAGACACAGACAATCTTCGCCTGAGCTGCGCCAGACGAGGAGCTAAGTTGCAGCAACGAAGAATCGGCGGCTCCGAGACGCCGGTGTGGAACGAGCAGAGTTCCCATCGTAGAAAGAAAAAAGAAATCCGGTTCCACCTTCCGGTCTTCGCTGAATCTCCTCATTGTGGGATCTGCAGGGCCATGGCGGCGGGTTTGGTCTCAAAGTACCGGTTGAACCGTAGCACAGCGTACCTGAGCGACAGAAGAGCAGAGACACGTCCAACGTTCAGCCGTTGGTAAACTGGTAAACGTCGTCTTTAGATCAAGTTCATTTATTTGTCCCCTTTTTATTACAGCCAACACCTGGGAGCGCCCATGCAGTGTCATGGGCGCTCCCATGCACACATTGTACCAATCAAATTACAGTAGCAATGTTGTATGAAGTTCACACTTTCTGTAGGGAACAGAGGAAGATAAAAAAAAAACAAGATCTTAATAAAGGCAATGAGGTCTTCTATGAAACACTTGAGTGGGTGAAGAACTCGATCCGTTCTGCACGACGGTAAGTTTCAATCGCACTGGCAGACACGTAACCGTAGCAACGGCAGCTTAGTGTACACCGTTAGTAGAGTTAGATGCCACTGGGGGCTGCACAGCAGCGATAGACACTGCGGATACGGTGGGTTTCAGGTGAGATTTGTAGAAAACGTCACAGACGGACGAGTCAAAAAATGATAAAGCCGCGTTGAAGTTATTAATAACTTAGACACGAAACATGTCTAACAAACAGCAGCGCACGCACTACCTGACAGTAGACGATAATGGCGGTAGTTCAGGGGGATGATCCGTACCTATCTCTGCTGATTGGCTCTCAGAACAACTCGGGTGGAGGAAAAAAAATAACCTGACATAAACAAAAAGTCAAAAATAAAAATAATCGATATTCACTGGAGCACCAGCCTTTTCTCAGTGAGGGTTTGCGTCCATGCTCTGCCTGAGGTCTACCGCCTCTCTGTGAATTCCTCTAAGACAATCTGACCACAGACACACACACACACACACACACTTACCCCAGGAAGTCAAAGTCGATGGTGGAGTATTTGGCCTGGATCAGCGCCCAGAAGCCCCAAAAGAAGTGAGAAGCCTTGAGAGAGACAATAATCACAGATCAGGGGATGTAAAGTAATACGAGCGTGTGTGTGTGTGTGTGTGTGTGCGCGTCCTCACCAGGGCGAACTTATTGACCTGCACGTAGAGCGTCTCCAGCTCCCGCGCGCTGACCTCCTCGCCTTTCTGGCTGAATAGCTTGTACGCCTGCAGGTAGACTCGGAGCCAGTCCATCTGCATCTCCCGGCTCGGGTACAGCCCGTAGTCCAGCTCCGCCATTCCTGAGCACGCACAGGGGCATGAGGAGCTGCGCACGGGCAAACGCTGAGAACGAAAAGGAGAATCCCGCCTGGGCTCCTACAAACCTGCGAACTCGTTGAAGTGGTTGCCGATGTCAAAGGCCTGGTAGTTGTAGCTGGAGTACTCGTAGTCGATGAAGCGGACGTGACCTGAGAGACAAACAGGAGGCCTGGTGAGGGGGAGGGGCCTGTGGCCTGTTCGTGTCGTCTCGCTAAACAGACTTAGCTTTAGTATTCATTGCTTTAACCTACTGGAGTCCTCAGGCCTCTAATTGTAAGATATTTTATATTTCTGTTCCATGTCTGGCTGCAAACGCCACTAGACCTTCTACCGGCTTCTACCTGACAAATCATACTGGGAAATGCACACATTTTAGGAACATAACTTACTGATCTCACATTGTATACATGCATTGTTAAATGGCTAAATGGCTTAAATTCAAACTTCTTTTCTTCAAAAACCCTCAAATGAAGAGAACTCCGCGGCGCGTACCGTCTTTCTCGTTGTGGATGATGTTCTTGCAGAGCAGGTCGTTGTGGCAGAGCACCACGGGGGAGCCCAGGGTGGAGAGGTGCTCCTTCATCCACGCCATCTCCTGCTCCAGCACCGCCTTGCTGGGAACCTCCTGCTGGATTCTGGACCCAAAACACACGGATAGAAGTGAGCTTTATCCGTGCATCCATCCGAGGACACACGTGAAGGGAAAGCTAAATAAAATGAGTTTTCAGGCGAATGATTAGCGGTTTGTTTACTTTATGGACATATGGCCCTCGCGTGTGACGTGCGTTTGGCCCCCGGATGGAGAAAGGGTTAAGTGGCTGCGCTCACGTCTCAGCTGACCAGACTGCCGTGCAGCGGAGACATCTGTGCCAACTGTAATGAGCTTATGGGGCTTAATCTAAAGTCAGCCTGGCGGGAAGGCAGAGTAACACACGCAGCCAATAAACAGGCCCGACGCGTGTGCAAAGAAACGCGACAAGCGTGTGCCGTCGTGGACCGGGTCGCTGCGGCCGTCTGCGTAACCAAGGAGGAGAGCTGGGTGCCCCGATGCAGCGAGCTGAGCAAACATCTGCCGGCCCGCTGCATGCCTCGGCCTCCACCATCCTGTCCGCTGTTATTGTTCCAGTTATATAAGCCACACGCTGGACTTAATCTAATCACCAGAACAAAGATATCAGCTGGGACCGGGCTGCCGGCCAGGTTACGAAACGCTCCACCTCGGCCGGCTCCGAGGGGCCCACCGGCAAGACGGGTCGGACTGAACTCCTCTTCTTCTTTCCCAGAAGAATGCATGCGTGCATGCATGCGTTCGCAACGAGGGGGGGACAATTGTACACGTGAGAGAAAACTTGAAGAAAGTCATGTTGAAGAAAACCTGACTTTCTTGGGAGGTGGGGGTGGCGCATGGGGAGGGAGGGGAAGATGGAAATCCAGATGTGTGTGTGTGTGTGTGTGTGTCTCACCTGACGTTGGATGCTTGGTCGGTGAACTCCGTGGCCACGAGGGAGAAGTACCTGCGCATCTTGATCCAGAGGTTGGGTTTGGGGATGCAGCCGTTGTGTGCGTGGATGGCGTGGATACGCGCCATCTCCCCGGCTATCAGCCTGAGGGGGGGGACAGGAGAACGAGGTCATCGCTGGGACCAGACTTAAGACCAACACAGGATAGTCAGTGGGTAACACTACATCCAGAGTGTTTCAAAGACACCCACAACATTACGTAATAAGGTGATGGAGCAACTCCTCGGATTCCACAGCCTTTGTTGTGTTTGCGTGCGACTTCACCTCATTTGCCTCCCAGTGCGGCAGCAGAGTAGTTAGTGTCAACATCCTGAGCAACAACGGCCGATGCTACCCCCCCCCCAGCTAAAGTCTCAATGCGAGACGCTGCGTAACTCCACCTGCGCAAGGAGGGATCCCGGACGTCCTGCGTCCCGAGAGCGTCCCCCTGCATGAACTCGTAGCAGATGCCGTTCAGAAAGGTGCAGTAGAGGCGAGGGGCACAACCGTTGGCGTGCAGCACCTAGAGGCACGAAACAAGAACAAAGTATCAGACGGGAGGAACCATTCAGAGGCGCTTTGCATTCCTGCAGCAGAGCGCGATCCTTCACGCTACCTGAAAGCTTTTCAGCTCGTTGTCTCGGTCCACAATCAGCTCGGTCTTGTGGCCGTACACCCGGACCAGCACCACGTCCTCTGGACTGTCCTCCACGTAGCAGCCCACCAGCTTGTTGGTGGTGCCGTCGGTGAAGAGCTGGAGGAGGAGGAGAAAGCGTGAGCACGGAGCCGTCTTCAATTGGTCCTCTGATCCCACCGGAACGTCTTCTCCTCGGCGCGCAGATCAGACAAATGTCCTCACGCTGTGGGACACCTAACGGAACACCTGAGCCGTCGGGACCACGCAGCGCTGCAACCATGCCAAGCAGTTTTCCTTTCATCCTTAGGATTTGTTTCATGCAATTAAAAACGCATGTTATTTGACATTTGATGGTATTAATATTATTTATTAACTAGAGGTTCCCTCTGCCCTTATAGCACACACAGAACCCCTCCCACTCATCTGCAGGGGGGTGTCCGACGCGTCAACAAGTCAAGTCAAACGTCTCTTTCAAAAAAGAAGCGCAAGCTAAAAAAAACCCACCTTTGTGTCTAAAGCTCAGCCATTAAATATCCGCGTGACAAACATCACTGCAGAGGACCGTCCCCCTGCAGCCGGGACAATAACAACATACACGCCGCCCGCCCGCGCAGCCCAGACGCTCACTCACACATATCTGGCATTCCACGCGTGGTTGACCACAAAGATGGGCGCGCAGGCATCCCTGTTATGGCTACACGCGCCCCATCGACCGCCACATGACATGATCCCTCCTCGCCACCGCACAATGCGCCGCTAAGGCCGCCGATCAATACGTGGACGGGCGGGGTTAAGCTTAGGCCCAGACGGAGGTAAACAGTCGGCCGATTGGGCCAACGCTTCATTCTTTAGCGACTCTTCCTCTCGCCGCCGGGCCGCTGGGGCCCCTGAGGCACGACGGGCGCGAGGACGCCGTCGCTCTGTTGCCGTTGGCGCGCTCTGCTGTTTTCTTGACCTGAGACAGAGAGCGGTGTGTTCAGTGACGGTCTTCCTGCCCAGGTGGCAGGGTGGTGGTGGTGGTGGTGGTGGAGGGAATCAGGGGTTTCCCCATAAAAACAGCCCGCCCCAATTTAACCGAATAACACATTTTTGTTTCACATCATCTCCTAAATCTCCTCACTCCTTTTCTGGCCCTGACCTTGAGTGAACATGTCGACGATTGTGCAGCTGCTCCGTAACTGTGATAGTTTGCGCCAGTGATGTTTTCATAGTGACTTAAACTCTGTGTGTGTGTGTGTGTGTGTTTGCCCAATAGACGTTTTCTACATTTGTTGATGCACAGCGGGGAGAACAAGTATTTGACACACTGCAGAGTTTGCAGGTTTTCCCTCCTGCAAAGCATGTGGGAGTCATAGTAATTTGTACCCTACTTTTCAAATGTGAGCGACGGAATCTAAAACAAATCCGGAAAATCTCATCCGGACCTTTGACACCTCAGTCATTCTGCTGGCTTCATTCAGGAATCATTCATTTGGGTGATGTGGTCCTCTACAAAACATCTCCAGCAGCCCATAAAGTGACGTTACATCACCAGTCCGCCATCACAGAACACGGGAAGTGAGTCCATCCACGTCACAACCAAATTATCCAAATTTGTGACGCCCTGTTATCGCTGCCGTATTGATTTATTACATGTGGAGTTTATGCAAACTAATCGTGCTCTTTAATATTAAACGCACGGGATGAAATGATCAAGTGAATGAGCTACTTTGGAAAGACGAGGAAAAAGATTTGGATCAGAATCAGGGGGCAACTAAAGCCTTTTAGCCATCATTTTAAGGAATATTTATTATTATATAATATGTTAATAATAAATTACAAGTAGTATAGGTTTTGCACTGTTTTCTTTGCTAAGCTAGTAAAGTCGCTAGTATGAAGGTCCAACAATTATTTGTTTAAATATTTTAAATGCATATTTCATACAATTGCATGGAGAGTATAATCCATTTCATGTGTCTTTTTCACACAGAGAAATGAAGGTTACATGTAAAGAAATAGTACATGCATGTCCAGTGAAGTGGCCTCTATATAAATGGATGTTAAAACATAGTAATGGACTTAACACCGAGCCAATGTCCTCCTGTCATTTTTGCAGAAGTGGACGAAGCAATTTCTTGCTGTCGACCATCTCCCTTTTGCTCTTGTCTCTTAAAAAAAAAACACAACATCACAACCCGCCTGTAAAAGCTGCTGTGAACTGACGCCAAGTTGCACTGCCGGCCGACACGAACCGCGTCTCCGTCCGACACCGACCCGCCTGACAGAGACAGCGGGCGGGCGGAACAGAGAAGCGGGACTACGGTCTCCGCGAGGTCTTCCCGCCGCACCGCCGCGTCGCACCGGCAGCCCGAGCGTCGCGTCGCCCGCACGGAGCCGCCCGTGACTCGGCTCTCGCGCTGTGGTTTTTGGCGACACGGGACACCGGGCCGCGTCCTTTGTCGTCGAGGCGAGTCGTCCGCTGGTAGCCGGCGGGTGGTGGTGGTGGTGGTGGTGTTTCCGCGGCCCTCCTCCCGGCGGCGCCCTCTGACGCCGCGGAGCTGTCAACCCGAAGCTAGCCTAGCATGCTACGCGCGGCTAGCCGCGCCCGGTGACGTTACCTTGGTCTTGACGTCGCTCGTGTCCCACGCCGGCCTCAGCACCTTGATGAGCTTCATCGCCCCCGCCGTCACGTCGTGCTCGTCCACAAAAATGGGGATTTTTCTAATGAGCGGAGACCCAACAGGCACGTGTATCTGCGTCTCCATCCCGCAGCCGCTCCTCTTCGACGTGAACCTGCGAGCCCTTCGCGAATACTTCTAGAAAACGCAGCATGCGAGTGCTGCTTCGCTTTATAGAGTCGCGTGAATGCTGATGCGTTTGGCTGAAAGCGTGAAGTTCGGCTGGGTGGATGTATCTCGCTCGGTGGTTGCGGGCCGGTTCGGTGAAGCTGCCGCTGTGGAGGCTCGTCGCCGGGTTTCTTGGGAGCAGTCAGCCGGCTGGACCGTCTCCCCTACTTGGCTCCGCCCCCCCCGGGATCATCCGATTGCACCGCAGGTGGAGGCGCACCGCGGCCGAGCGCGTGCTTTCCTCCGAGTCTGCACGAGTGGAGCCGGAATCAGCCGAATACGATGTAGCGTGACATGGGTCACAACGTTAATACTCTTCCAGGGGGACCTTGTATTTATTTTTTATTTATTTCAGAAGAATGAAGGAGTATTAACTTTCCTATATCATAACGATTAAGTAATGTATTTACAATTTAGCTGTGTTTAATTAACAGCTTCTCTTTATAAATACACTATATTTATTATAACACTTTCCCATTAGCAATGTCTCATGTCGCACCTCCTGTCTTCCCCTGTTGCTCTTCCTCCAGTGCAGCTTGTTTTAAAGAGAGATTTTATACAACCAGTTTTAGCACCACAGGACCAAGGTCCTCCACAGAAACATCTTCTTCCCCTCATAAAGTCCGTCGCCCACTGACCGAAACATTTTCATGGAGATACTCCATTCCAATACATACGTATCTTTTGCTTGTACATTTGTATCTTATTCCATTCTTCTTATTCGTCTCCTTTTATGGCACACTCCATTAAGACATATTTCCTGTAGTGTGTAACATACGGGGCAATAACAACGTACAACGCCGAGAGCGGACTGATTCGCGGGAATGGGAGAACGGTCATTTCGGCACAGCGGCTGATTTGATGGCGTCACCGCGTCAGCTGGTCTTGCTAATGAGTAAACCATATGAGGGTTAGATGAGAGAATTATTATCACAGTACATTAAAATACAGCAGCTGGATGTCACCCAACCATGACAGGTGTGTATCTTATTAGTATTCATATTGGACGGAAGAAACACATAAAACGCTACCGGGGTAAACATTTAATTCAGGGCTGTTGTATTACATCACACTGCATTAGCTTTATAAAGCGTTCATAAAGTAAAGAGGAGGTTTAAAACAGTAGCAAAAATTAAACAGTTATTACTTTAAGGGATGGGGCTATATGCCACATACACACCTACTGTTTAGTCTCCTTGTTACTCAAACATCAAGGGGACGGTAATGTCCTCAAATACACTCACGCTGTGACTAACGGTGACTAACTCATTTATGTTGCAACCTTGTTAATAAAGTAATACTTTGGACCTTATGTCGTCTGCATGACTCAGCACTGTAACAACACATGAAGGCACCTAAGACGCTTCTTCAGTCCATCTTCAGAGAAGTAGTTTGTCCATAGTCCGCTGCAGAGTGACGTCACTAACACGCGTCTCCCGTCGCATGGGAACCGCGTAGCTTGGTCAAAGGGGAGTCGGATTCCCTGACACACCGCGGTTTTCCTTTCCTAACTCCTCGTGAATTCTCCTAACCGTCTTTCCTTGAGCCCGTGACGTTTTCCACGCAGCTCACGGAATAGTATTTAGGAATTTACGGTATGAGGTATGAGGTCTTGTCTTTGTTTGACAATTCGAATCCGGCCACGATCTGCGTTTCTCGTGAACGGCCCGAACGAAACGTCGCCATTTAAATGTTGCAAGGAACTGTGCGATGGAATTATCTCCTTTCCTTTCGTGCTTCCTATACTAAAGGAGCTACGTAAGGACGCATTGAAGCTCCTTTCCTCAGCACTAGACAACTTAAGCAGCTCTCATCACGTCGGCCGGGCAGATACTTCCGTCTAGGGGAGGAACCTTCCTCAGCAAGAAGGACGAATCGAGCCTAGAACGCGAACAGCTGATGACGTTTCACGAGAACACACGTGGTACCGAGGTAGCCGCATACGTACGTCTGTGGTCAGTGGGCCGACGTGACCTTGTCAAACAGAAAGCTAAGCTTAATTACGTAGCATCCCGTCATGACGTAATCATGTCTGTATGTTAGTGCGCCTGCAGGTGTCGAGCTTCACTTTAAATGGTACAGTGTCATGTGAATATGAAGTGTTTATACAGAATAAATAATAATAACATGTAACTGTGGCGTCATGATGAGGTTATTAGCTTATTCAACTGTGGTAGACGGCACAGAAGGCCGAGGTAGAAAATGTACTGTCTCCCGCTGTCTTCCAGATGTCTTACGTGAGGACAAGGACAATTCCCCTTCTGTACCTGCTGGAATGAGCAGCTGTCTTCAGGTCAAAGTGCGTTTTGAAAGCAGCGTACTAAATGTACTACTGGATTTACTGTACAAGTCAAATAATACTACGGAACTGCATATCCTGGTCTGTTACAATGGTATCAACGTGTACTAGAGATACAATTACATGAGATAAGATTCATGAATTCCAAATGGAAAATACCACAAGACACTGACCAGGCAAAGATACAATGAAGGCAAAAATAATCCAAACTTAAGAGAGCTGAATAATGAATTATTAATCAAATCAAATAAATAACAGTAGAGTAAGTACAAAAAATAGACACTAGAAATAATAATAGAAATAAGAAAGTTGTGAAGACAATCCAGTAGCATGTAGGCCGGTGTACATAAATATGCTTTGTGTATTAATGTAGAATACAGTGTGTGCATGATGCCGGACCTCAGCCAAAAGCGCCTGAATTCAACCAATAAGAACATTTTGATTGTAAGTCATTGTAATTGTCCAGAGACAAAAAAAATAGAAATGAAATTGGTTCAAATACTTAATTCAACTACTGTTGGGTAACCTTTGCACGGGCATCTACAATAGCAAAAGAAAAGAATAGAGCCACGGGACAAATAACAAAAGTGAAAAGACCAAACTGAGCAGACGGACAGCCGGGTGACCTGCAGCCAACAGGCGGTAACAGCTCTCAGGCAGACGGTGGCAGTAGAGTGAATCCAAATGTCTCCGTGGTGCAAACGGGTGGGACAGTTTACCCTGAGGAATGTTCCCCGTTACAACACTGTAGCCTAAAGATCCCCTTTTTTACATACCAGGTGCCCGTGTGGACTCTTTGGTTACCAGTCGTCTGCTCTTTCTGTATTAAGTTAAACATTCTGAAAGATGGGCAGGACAACGCATCTAATCTTTACTAACCGCCACGATCTGTGCAGTCAATATGTCTTCCATGAACTTGCTCCACCGGGTGTAACAATGAGAGAAACAACCAGGGGACGTCCGGCCACATTAAATCTGCTCAAACTTGTTGCCCATATTGCTGAAGGCAAACCTCCGTGTGTATGTATTTGTGTGTGTGTGTGTGTGTGTGTGTGTGTGTGTGTAAGCAGGTCCACAGGAAGTTTGGGGTATTTTGTTTGTCTTCATTTTAATTAGTTACTGTGTCTGGGAGTTTGTCGTTACATTTTAATGGATGATTGTGTTTTTTCTCTGCTACAAGTGGGTTGAATTTATTAATCCTTGTGTTACTCTATATTTTAATGTAAAGCCCATTGAGTTTACTTGTGTATATATTCCTTGTATGTCTGACATATTATGGCAATAAATGTTTCCTGATTTAAACATCTGCACACTCCGCGGTCAATATGTTGATGCAGTTTATAATTATATGTAATGATTTCATACATATTGTATTATAGTGAATTTAACTCGAGACCATGTTCACCAAAATGCTGAGACAAATTCCTTGTTTGAAAACTCACTTGATCATCACCTCGTTTCAGACTCTGATTCAAACAAAGTGTGCTAAAGAAACAAGTGATCTGTGTCTTCCCGGTGTCACTGGTCCTTAATAGAATTTACATCTTTGCACACTGTACTGCTGCACCCCAAAGCAGAATATAAAACATATTGTTAAAATACCTGGGTGTTATCTCTGTCAGCTCACACAGTGCCGTCACAGGCCCCCGACTAAACCTCTGGCTATCGGCCCCGGAGATCTCCACCTTCCCCCAAACACAATAGAACTGCACGGCACTCGGCCCGTGGTGCTCAAAACGGCCTCTCTCGTCCTGCAGGTTCTACGGAGGACAGTGTTGTGGATGTGCAAACGGCGAGGAGCGCTTCATTCGTTCGTGCCCCTGTTTCTCAAACGCCTAAGCTTTGCACTGCTTTTGGGAGTGACTGGGAGTCTTACAGCGCACGGCGGGATGCGTCGGTGTGCACAGTCACGCCCGGGCACTGTGTGAATCTACCTGTAGCCACACGCCTCGCCTGCTCTCCCTTCAACGTCACCCAGGCTCTTTCCTCCGGCTCTCAGGAATGCGGTTGGTGAATTGCGTGTGTTTGTGTGTCTGTCTGTAAGGAGTAAATGGCTGAAGGTGAATTGCGTGTACATGCATCTTACCTCGCACACAGCGGGACGGTTCAAAGGTGCACCGCTGATCCTTGTAAATCTCAGGAATGGGGAAACGTTGACATTGAGTGCTGTTTACAGTGTGACACACACACACACACACACACACACACACACACAGATAATGAATGACATCTTCCTTGAAAGAGTAATCGGCCTCTTTCCAAAAACCTAATTTCTCACGTCAAGCTCCTTGTCAACACTCTCCCCATCCATCACACGTTGTGCGATTGGAAATGAACTGGGGCTGTTTGCTTTTACACGCAGCACTTGCACAGACTCGAGAGGACGGCGCGGATTGGGTTCAAAGGTCGGCAGATGTGGCTGAACATTGTGTTCAGTCCATGATCGAACTTAGCAAGCAGTAGAATGAGAGGCCACTGAAGGACGTCTGACCATCTGGTCGGTTTAGCGGTCGGTGGACTTTGTTGTCAAATGTCCATTGTTGGTTTCTTGTTGTCGTCTGTTGTCAACACCGTGTCCACAGTGACAGTCTGTGAATCAAGGTCACACTCGGTACTGTGGCAAGGCGTCATCATGCTAAAAGCATTGAAAAGAAGCTAGAATGATTTTTTTTACATGAGTCGCCTTTGTTCAAATGAAAATAAGTAACATTAACACGTTGAACTTTAACTCCATCTAAAGACTTTGTCCAGCACAAACACAACTTTGTAGTCTATTTCTGATTTGGTCCTGAAGACCAAAGACACCAGAAACAGTTTTGTGTACTTTTCGATGTGTGTGTGTGTGTGTGTGTGTGTGTAGGGCCCCTGCTTGTGGCTGGTTGGATTCCATCGCCCGGTCGGTCTCCGGCTTGTGAGTGCCTGTGAGTCGAGAGTCTTTAGGATTCTCTGTGGGGTGTGTTATAATAATCCCACGGTTAGGACTCCTCATACTCTATAATCACACCTGAGCACACATAGTGGTGAGATCACGAGAGCACTTCAAGCCAATGGGCTGCCGATTGTTCATCCTGTGACCAAAAAAAAGAAAAAAAAAGTTTACACGTTCAAGAACGCAGAGCGGCTCCGAAAAATCACTGTTCTGCACAAGTATGAAGCAAAAGTACAGTGAAGAGGTATTTTACCATTGCTTGTACACCTTAAAGTCCTAAACTATCAGCCTCACAATTGGTAAACCGCTTCTCAGAGTATGAAAATAACTTAAGTGCCACTTTGCATCTCGAGATACTAAATCAATGGATTATATCTACTTGCAAGGAGTTGATAACCCAAAAGACTCGTTATCCCTCAGCATGTTCCCCACTTTTGGTTTAAAAGCTATTGCATCATTAAGAAATAACTTTTGGCGGTTTTGTTCGTTGGCTGCCAGCAGGTTTCCAGCAGGTTTCTTACAGGATTTGATCATTTCTGTGACTCCTGATGAATCTGTTGTGATTGGACCCAAACTTCATACGAAAAGCTATGAAAAGCTTCATAAAAAATCAATTAATAAAGCAAGAGAGCAAACTTAAGGTCGATGTGTGTGACCTCACCACATCGTTGAAGGGGTTTCAACCGGGCCGAACCCACGGTGAACTGACACGGCGTATCGGTCAGCGTCACCACTGCAAACAGGTGCTAAGTGTGTGTGTGTGTGTGTGTGTGTGGCTCTATTTGTCTTTGTGTTGACCCCCTTTAAGAGGAGCATATGGCCGCCAACACAAAGGCTGAACCGCCTCACTCCTCCTCTCAAAGGTGAACGAGGGGACACACTTGGGCATGCATGAGCACAGACACACACACACACACACACACACACACACACAGAGCTCCATTCCATACCCCCCCCCACCCTCTTTATTTACCACTTCCCATCCTTTCATTTTCAGGTCAGGTCCTTTCACCCCGAGCAGGCGGCAGCTGGAGGACTGAACTCTCAGAGGGAGGAACCCGGCAGACGGACGGAGGGGAATCATGCTGAGCCGTAGTTGCCTCCCCTCACCCCGCACCCCTCACCCACATATATATGTTGGAGGAACAAAGAGCTTTAACCCGCATCCAAACACTTATTGTGTGACGCAAGTTTGATGGAGAAACATGAGCTTTATTTCCTCGGGAATAGTCCTCACGACAGACGAGGGGGGGGGGGGGGGCTCAAATACTGTCACTCACATATTTTTCAGTGCCAACACTTTGGCAAAAAAATAGAAAATGTGTTTGCTACAGAAGGGACTCTTTCTTTTTTCTTCTAGCGAGTCGTGCCATGGGATGATGCCTATTTGGGGGTTGTGTGGCACGCTCCGCCCTTGGAGGTGTATACCCCCCCCCCCCCCCCCCCCTGCAGGAAAGGAAGAACATAATTTCCGAGACACCAGCTGGAGGAGGTGAGCGAAGCTCTGCGTGCCCCCACATGCCCACGAAACAAGCCGCAGGCGACACCTCTGGTTCTTTTTTGGTATCCTCAGGACAGCTTGTGTGTTTTTGGGAGAGTGCACTTGTTGGTCTTTGGGTGGTGGCCCGAAGTAGTACAGGCCGATACAATGCGCTCACGCACCTTTACGAGGGGGGGAAAAGCCCCCGATGAGTCACCAGGAGCGCCGCGGTTCGGCTGTATAGATGTGAGCGCTGGAAACCCAAACAAAGGGGAAACCATCTCTCAGGTTTCTCTCTCTGCGCTCACGTGACCTCCGGTGACTCAGCGTGGACAGTAGACGTGTCTATCCATGATTGTTTATTATCTAACCAGTCTAGAGGCTGTGCATCATATGTTCACACACACACACACACACACTGGAACTACAACATTTTATATAGGATGGTATGTCAGCACAGGTTGGGCAACTGCATGGACAATAAAACGTACAAAAACAGTTTCAGATGAGAAAAACACATCATTTTGATGTAAAAAAAAGTGCTCCATTAAACCCTGTGGAACTGAAGATTTCACAATGCATTTCTTTCTTAGTTTGAGTTTAAACACTCCATTCTCCACCCTGTTTGAATTCTAAGAAAGATTTTTAAAATCATTTTTAGTCTTCAAGAAATTCTTATCACATCGATTTATTGCGTGAAGAATCTTCATGTCGTTTAAAAAAATAAAACCCAGCCGTTTGACCCTAAATACTGGAGTGAGTGGGGCTGACCAGGTGTGCGACCAGCAGGTGCACAGAATGAACTGGTTAGTGGGAGTGAGAGGTGGGAATGACCGGATAGAAGTGACAGAGCTGCGACAGTAAAACTACAGGAGGAAAAGCGACGCGGCCGGTTGTTCATCACCTGACATAACGCAATGCATGGTGGGATAATATGGGAGATATTAAAAGACTAACAAATGCACTTAAATCGTACTTGTAACGCCACTCATCTGTAACTGATTGTAAATTGGCTTATTTGAGTAAATTGCACTTTCTTGTTTCTTGCTCTTCTGAGTCCCTGTGGTTGAATGCACTTCTTGTAAGTCGCTTTGGATAAAAGCCTCAGCTAAATGACATGTGATGTAATGTAATTTATTATTTCTATCGATTTCTCAAAAAGACACAATTGTTTCATGTAATAATGTAATAACAGTAGGACCTTTTTGGTCACATATGACATCGACGGCCTGTTGTGTGCGTGAATGTGCTCTCTGAACGCCGGTAAAGTGCCTTTCTAACCGTGATGACAGTGAGTGTACTCAAGGTGTGAGGGGTCACGCTGGGCCGAGAGGTATTTCCGGGGCCCTCTGTGTCCCTGGGAACTAATTCATCTTTAACTTCCGCGTGGCGCTCATGACAACACAAAGCAAAGAGTCCGATTTCTCTCCCCACCTTAAAAGGTTATTTGTTTAGACCGAATTTCAATGTCATTTCTAATCCGGAAAATGTTTCATCCTCTGCTTTGTGCTGCGTCTTTATTTTTTTTTTCAAAAGGTTGTGACAGATTTTGCGAATCACTTTGAAAACTGGTTTAGACTTGAACGTCTATAAATAGTCGTTGAACAAAACGTTCATGCCCAAACATATTACACGTCTTTTAAACATCTAAATGCTGTTAACGACAGCTTGTCGGCCGCATCCAGCTAGTTATTAGTGAACTTTAATTCCTTAACTTTCACACTTTAGAGGTTACCCTCTTACTCTGGTTTAGTTGGTTTTATATATTTTGAAGAGAAATGGATCTAAATGAGCTCAAGTTATGAACCTGAAATATGACTTTCTAAGCCAGTAACGTTACAAACATCACTGGACGTGGTCCCTTTGCTCCTTTTCCTTTAGTGGTGTGATGATAAACTAACTTAAGGAGCCACGAGCAGAACGATGTGTGTGGTAACGTTCATCTAAAATATAAAATATAAAAATATATGACTTATAATTGAGGGTATTTGTTTAATACGTTTTATTCTCTAATAGTGAGAGGTAATAAGTCAAAATAGTGTTTTAAATTGTTTTGTGCCCAAATGTGTTTACCAGAAAGCCCTCAAACAATCAACGTTCTGTTGCGTGCCGTGCATGTCTGGATTATTGGATATAAGGACCATGAGAATATGAGCCAGATGTGATTTGTAACTGTTGACATGAGATCCACTTGTTATGCGAAACGCGCTCCCCGGTACAGTCACTCACACGCATACGCGTGGTCAGAGTGCGCGCACGAAAGGGTGGAGTCGGTTCAGTGGGACTTTTTTTTTTCTACCCCGAGGGAATCATATCTTGACTCAATGCACCGGGAAATAATCCAAAGTGAGCTTTTGAACTGCGCCAAAGGCAAACCGGGGCTGTGGTTCAACCTCCGCCTGCGCACGGGATCATATCCGGTGCTATTCCCCGTGATTTTGATCACGGTGCGGTGAAATCCAGAGGCATAAACCCGGATCAGTTCTCCGTGCCGTCATGGAGCGCAGCGCTTTGGCCCCGCAGCGCGTCCAGCCCTGGCCGCGCGCGGCGCGTAAAAGCGAGTGGCTCCGGAGCGCTCTGGCCCACCACCACGGCCCCGATCCCTGCGCGGATAACGAGATCGTGGTGCTGGCCACAGGGGTGGACCAATACCTGCAGGAGGTCTTCCACCACCTGGCCCATCCCAGCCAGGAGGACTCGGTGTCGGCGGAGGATTTCACCGCATTGTGCGCCGTGCTGGGACTCGCCGCAGCGGAGAAAGCACACGGGACGACAAAGGGGGGAGACGCGGGTGGGGCAAAGGGCGAGGACGACGAAGAGTTTGGGGACGCGTGCTCCGCGCTGCCCTGCCGGCTGTCCTTTAAAGACTTCCACTCGAGGCTCTGCGGGTACTTCCGCGTGCGCAGCGCGCGAGAAAGGGCCACCGGGGCGGGCGCCGTGCGCCTGCCCGTCACCGAGGACACGGAGCTGGTGGAGAGACAGATCCGGCTCCGGTGGCCCCGCGTCAGGCGGAGAAAATGTGTGAGTTTTGATCTGGCGAGGGATCCGAGCGGAACCGTTCACCGGCCGGTCAAAGGTCGAGCCGCAGTGGACCGCGAGCCAGGTACCGCACCAACCAGGGTATTTACATACGACACGTGTGACCGCGATGGAATGATTCCAGTGAATACTGAGGTTGTTCTTTAGCTGCAACCAAATCTGCTCATTGCCCGTGCAGAGACACGCGCACGTAATAATAGGACCAGATATCTACATTTTATCTTAAATACTTTATTTAGTGTTATATTCTTCACCATTTCCAGCTCCTGCACCACCTGCACCACCATAGTATCCTTGTGTTGGGGAAGGCTGTGCCTCCTCTCTTAAATGTACCAATACAATGAGCTACAGTAGGCCTGACATGCACAAGTATAAAGATGTAAATCTCCAAGTAAAGTGCAAACTCCCCAGAACTGCACCCAAGAGAAGTCAGTAGAGACAAAATAAATGATTATTGATTCATTTAATATTCCCTCTAAAACGTACTGAAAAACACAATACAGTTAAAACACGCAGGTAACCCCCACCCAACCCCAACCGTAACCTCAGGTAAAGACAAGTGTGAAAAGTAAGACGTTCTCTTTTGTTCTTCTTCCTCTCCCTCATGTTCGTTTTCTCCTCCTCCTCCTCCTCCACCACCTCCTCCTCCTCCACCAGACGAGGTGGCCGCTCTGAGGGAGCTGGTGGAGGACCTCCGCTCGGCGCTGCAGGGGAGCGACGCGCGCTGCCTGGCCCTGGAGGTGGCGCTCCGGCGGGAGAGGAGCCGCGCTCCCCCGCCGCGCACCAGCTTCCAACGCCCAGCTCCGAGCCCCACAACCTCCATCGCCCTCGCGCGTGGCAAACTGGTGCCCACGCGCAGGATCAAAGGGCACTGTAGCGGCGCCGCGGGGGACGCGCCGAGGAGACGGGACATCCGGGACCCCCTGGAGAGGGAGCTGAAGCTGATCCGCTCCTCGCGCGACGGGCAGCTGGAGGAGGCCATGAAGTTCAACCAGCGGCTGGAGGAGGAGGTGCGCTGGGCGCACCAGGAGGTGCGCAAGCTGCACGCGGCGGAGCTGGCGCTGAGGAAGGAGAACGCTCACATCAGGTTTTCATCCTCAGAAAGTCAACGGGCGATGTGGTGACAGGGATGGAGTTTAGAGGGAAGTGGTTTGGATGATCCGGGGGTGATCTCTCCACCAGGCGGCGGGCGGAGGAGGCCAGGGAGGCGCTGAGCTTGGGGCTTCAGAGGGTTCGGATGATGCAGGAGGAGGCTCAGTCTGTGCCGCAGCTCCAGTGCAAGATCACCCAGCTGGAGGCTGAATTACACCAGTACCGGTACAACCACTGTGTGTGTGTGTGTGTGTGTGTGTGTGTGTGTGTGTGTTTACACGTTTGTTTCCCTGCTCTAAAGTCACACTCACTGAATGAGTGAGGGGTTTAACTCCCAAAACACACCGGGTTAAAACAACAACAACAACAACAACAAAACGGCAAAGAACACAACACCTCTGTCTCTTTTGGTTCAGATCCCGATGCACCTGCATCGCGGACCCCGCCCACCAAGAAACGTACCCGCTGGGGGCGGCAGACGCCTGCAGCAGGACAGGTAGCAGCTCTCGTCTCCTCACCGTTTCTTTTGTTCTGCAAGGGTTGATGACTGAATAGGTTTTGCAATGCGCCTTTTTTTTTTGGGGGGGGGGGGGGGGGGGGGGGGGGTTCTCCAGCCGTTGACCAAAGCGTTTTGACAGTAAAAGCCGCTGCCTTTGCAGAGTGCCTGCAGCGAGCGGTGGAAGGGAGAGCTGCCTCCGATGAAGAGGAGGAGGACCGAGGGACGCGGTGCTGCCCGGTGGAGGTGGAGAAGCACCGCCCGCTCGGCCGGGCCGGAGGGTGAGCCGACGCCTGACGCGCCGCCGCGGACACGCTCGTCCTTCCCAAATGTAACCTCTCTTTTTTTGTTGTTTTTTTTTTCTTCCCCGCGTGGTAGAAACCCCGTCAGCAGGGGGCGCTGCAGCTGGAGGGGACAAACCCAAGAGCAGCTGGAAAAAGAAGAGGTGGGAGAGAGAACATTGCAGTGCAAAATTGAGTGGTGAAGACTCGTAAAGCTCTGGAGCCTCTGGAGAGTTGGTGTTGTCAGGACGCCGTGCGAGGACAGAAAGCCCGGCTCAGCGTTTCCACAACGGCTGTAAACGTCACGGCTGCTCATTTTGAGGCCTGAACCTCAAGAGGGACTTAAGAGCCCGACCACAAACAGACCGGGCCGAAGGGGAAGGTGAAGTGTCCTCGGAAACGAGCTCTTTTAGTGGACGGACGCTGACGGGGACGATCGGCCCGAGCCGATCGATGAAACTACAGAAGTTTCCTTTTTAACTGTTGAGAAGTGAGTGAACGCCACTCAAAAGACAGAGAGGGAAAGCAAACAGGAGCAGTGAATACCTAAAGGAGGACGCCTGTGACATCACTGCCACTAGTCGTGACCTCAAGAGGTCATAACGTGTGTCATTAACTGACCCATCATCTTCATCATCATCATCATCATGCATCCACATAGAGAACTCAAACTCCTGTTCCCTTGTATTTAAAGTAGCTCCGCTCACAAATACAGATCGTTAGTAGATATATCCACGTGGAAGCTCTTCTATGTGAATAAAACGTGGTGCGTGTGAAAGACACAGAAGTAATAAGACACTTGTTTGGATTGACGTGTTCCTGCTCACTGTTTCCCAGAAGCCCGAGGGAGAGGAGGACAAGACGAGGCCGGAGGAGAGAGAGACGACCCGTCTGTCTCTGCTGGAGGACAAACTCACGGATGCCCTCAAACTGCTGCTGCACCTACGCAACAAGGTGCCCCACACACACACACACACACCCACACACACCCACACACACACACACACACACACACACACACACGAACCTCTTCACCGCCATCTAGTGGTTCATTCCGTCATAGTTGCGAGATAAAGGATCTCGCATGAAACGCAATGAAACATTGTGTAATGTGTGTAAAAGATATGTAAGCACATTAGAAGGAAATATCTAAATGAATTATTATGATAAGTCATTTCATTATTGCACTATTATTATTAGTATTGCACATTTGTTTTTATAGTATGTAAACCATTCTTCAAACTCCTTATTTAATGTTAATTCTTTCATAAAAATAAAACATATTTAACTTAAACAAGTTATGTAAGTTTTATTCTATGAGGTCACTTTTCACTTGATTTCATTCATACGATCCCCTTTCTCAACAGGAGGGTTGAACCCGTCCCCAGAAATGACAAACACAAAATTCAACTATAAAATACAAATGATTTATTTAATATTGAAAACTTTGCGGCTGCATGCTCCTCCCCTTATGATCCGTGTTCGGCACAATATACATGCATGTTGCATGACTGGATTTATTGTTGTTATTCTTTGTGTTTTTGTTGCTTTCCACAGAGCGCCCCACCTTCATACATACAACATACTTACCTTTCTTTACGTGACTAACATCACACGCGTTTAACGTACGCAGGAAAGCAGGTCGTGGCTCGTTGGACTTTGTGCCGCGCTGCTTTCATAGCTGTATATTTCTTTCCGAACATTAAATTAAAAAGATGATTTTCATTTTCATCAATACTAAAGTGAAGCCCCCCGTCTGTAGAACGTGTCCCGCCGGGTCCTGGGGAGGATCGTCATGGACACTCTGGATGTGTGCAGCAGGAGTGGAGATGGTAGGCGTCCCCCCCCCCCCAGTATTCATGGTCCAGTGTTGCTCCTTGCTAAGAAAAGGTGACATTTCCCCGCCCAGGTCCATCTCAGGTGCTGCAGGTAGCGGACGCCCTCTGCGTCCGGCTGTCCTCCAGGGATCTCCTTGGAAACGGAGGGGAGGACGAAGGAGGAGAGAGCAGAGAGCCCCTGGTTCTTCCTTCGGGGTGTAAGACGAGCAGCGGCAACCCTCTGCTCATCCCTTGCTAGACCAACTCTTGTGTTCTATGTATTTAAAGGCTTTATTTACACTTTGGGTTCTTTTCTTTATTTGATGTCAATTCGAAAAAATTCAATGTACATCACAATACTTTATCTTACCATTGAACTTGGTTTCACTGTAATGATTTGTGTGTCCTTTAGCGGATACGTTTAACTGCAGCAGCTTTTAAGTTTGTGTGAAAACTCCACAATGCTTGTTACAAACTCTGGTTCAGTGATTTGTATTTTGTGTATAGTTATTATGGTCCATTAGGTTATTTACTTGTTAGAGCAAGTTACTTCCCTGTGGGAACAGGTTATTGTCTTGTGGAAACATTACGATAGATTCCGCACTCTGTGATTTGTGGCGTAGCAGCTACGAGACATTAACACCAAACATTGACCATCGGAGATCCAAGTTTAATCTCTGTACTGGGAAAAGTCGAGCAGACTGGAGATCTGTCAGATCATCGAGCTGAAAAAACCCCCCGACAACAAGACTGAGGAATGGTATGAAATCATATAGTTCTTTAATTCCAGCAATTTACAAAGTCCTGCAGGGAGAGACTCTTCCTCCGGCCTCACAGAGGGCTTCTTTTTACAAGGTGGGCAGACCGAATGCGCCTCGGCCTCCGGGAGACCGGGACCAGGTCCGAGACGGGTGGAGGTTTGGTGTCTGAATCAAAAGGCTCCACCTTGAAGACGTTGTCCTTGGGATTCAGAGGCTCGAGGGGTTTGAAGCACTTATACTTTCAAAAGGCAGTAGGTGTTTATTTCCTATTCATGTGGACATTCTGTACTTTTTTTTTTTTCCCCTCCTGGCCTCCCGAGTCCTCATTTGAACCCCCGGCTCGTCCTCCCCTCCACTGCTGCGTCATATAAAGTCATTATTACGTTACAATCATAATCAACTGTACATCTTTAGTTAATCAAAGCTAATTAAAGAGATGCTACTCTGTGGCGAACCCGGCTCCTGATTGGGTTACTATGAGTTGAGCTCGGCTCTCATAGGTTAAGGCCGTCTATTTGTTAAAGTGTGCTTTCCCCGTGTGTGACAGGGTGTGCGTGAGGTGTGTAAAGATCGGTATTAGGCACCGCGCTGTTCCTTAGCCGCACCGTTGGCGAGCAACAAGAAGCTTACTGGCCTTTTGCAGGAGAAAAAAAAAAAAAAAGAAAGAGAAAAATGATAAAAACAACATGGTGACAAGGAAAAGGAGCCAAAATGAAATGACAAAATAAACAACCATATATATATAATAAATATAATATGTACAATTTGCTTTGTGCACAATCTAAAAATAAATAGACAAAGCATTACTTGCCCCTTTTATAGAAGTATTAACAACTTTCCATTGACACAGAGGCAGAACGCCGGCACCCGGACGGACCGAGAGGCAACGGGTGGAAGGATGAAACTTTTACAGCAAGTCTGTGCAAACGCAGACAGACTGAAGACGTCACTCCAGTCGGACTCGCGCGGGGTTTCACGCCACAGAGACGCACGTTGACGAGTTGAGAGGATCCCTGCTGCGTCCTGGCGGCTCCGCTTCTCTTTGCAGATTACAGTACGTTGGGCCTTTAGAACCAGCGCGGGAAGAACTTTTCTTTTCTCATCTTTGTAGTGGTTGTTTGCTCGGCGAAACATTACAATATATAGGAAATAAATCACACAGCGTTAAACAGATTAGGGAGAGGAGGAAAGGAATAGAAACAAAAAATCATATCATTGATATTAAAAAAAAAAAAAAAAAGAATAGTTAAGACCATAAGATTTTTCAGCAAATAAAAGAATCAAGTGTTGCACATTCACATTTTGTGCCCTGCACACGCATCCCGCAGGCTCCTTCAAAACAGCACGCAAGTCTAAAAAGCGCCCGATGAGTCGAGCATCACCCGCAGTGAGTCTGGTCGGGTGTGTAATCTGTAGAATTCCAGTCTCCTCCTCACCTGCGATCAGGGGGCAGATTGAGTGTGACGGAGGTCAAACCGGGATCTGCCCCGTCGAGTCGTTCATCTACAAAAGGACCGGCTCCTCTCTCACCAAAGACATTAATATTAGGTATTTATTTTTATTTTTTTAAGAATTATATGGGCGATATACGGAAGCCTCAAGAGGCCCAAGATGGAGAATTTATTTCTATATTTTCCAATTCTGAATTGTCCTCTCTTGTATTTATGACTTTATAACTCAAGATAATCAATTTCCTGAATTTTCATTTTGTTGAATCAAATTGCTGAACAAAGTTGACTCTGTAAAAAAAAAGATTAATTGATTAGAAAGAATCTGAGAATGGATCACCAGATGTCCTCCTTCTAACCTGCTTTTGATGTGAGAACATTTACAGAATCAACAGCAGAAATGAGCCGGCGGCATCACTGGGAACCAGCACAGCAAAATGAACTTGAGAGAAGTGGGAAACGGGCGAACGCCGGTCGGTCACAAAAACTTGCTAACCGTACAGACCAACTAAATGTACATGTATTACGTGTTACTACGACCGGGTTGGTTCACTGCAGGAATCTTTTGGTGAATCCGAATGCAAAAGGCAATGGAGAGAAAACCTAAACAACCAACCAAACCATAGCTTGGTGTGTGGGCTCCTTGTAGCCCCCCCCTGCCTGCCCAACCTCAGGAGACATCCTTGGTCTCTCATTGGAAAATATCAACATCCAGGCAACTAAAGAGAAAAAACAACGGTGCAAAACAGCGATTGGATCCGTTGGTCTGGTACCAGACAGCTGAACCCGAGAGGCTCATCCCGCCTCGCATTGTGGTGATGCGTGAACGCGATGGCGTCGGGTTGGCTGAGCTCTGCAGGTCGTTTCCAGTGTGTCGCAGCACGTTTAGCCTCTTGTCACCTGCTGGGAGTCCGGCTCGGGCACCATAACAGCAACAGTAGTGAGCGGGTGGATGAGTTCAGCCAGGGAGGTTTAAGAAAACCTCCCTAACCACATTCTGCGCATTTATCGAACAAAGACTAATCGTTCTCAGGGCACTTTTCAGCAGATTTGGCCCATTAAAAAAAGGCATCAGTGCAACTTCTGTGGACTCTAGGGAAAGCTACAAGAGTAAAATATAGGCCATTGTGCGAGTGAGCATGCAATTCTCATCAATGGAAACACTTAAATAGCCCTTAATTAGGAGGTTCTAAAGGGCTGAAGAAGCAGGTCTGGTCGTGGCTGACGTCAGCGTTTGTTTGATCCTGATTTGTGACATTTCTAAATAATAAGACTCAGAGGAAGTATCCCGCTGACAGAGAGCGACGCCAAGAAGGGACTTTGCTTGTTATGTTGGAGGTGCAAGTCCCCGAGACCAAAACGCTCTTCTAGCACTATGCGACCTCTGCTAAAAGACACACACGTGATATTCATAGCACTTCTTAGACAAGTTTTGCTGTTGAAGTTTCAAGTGTTAAAACTTGATTGGCAGGGCCAACGTTCCCATTGAAAATAATGAGGACGGGCCCTTTGCATGGAACAATTCAACTGCATTATTTATCAACAATACTAATCATTGTTAATAGGGTGTTAATAGCAAACGTAACTCAGTTGCTAGGTAGAAAATGGGAGGAGTGTGGTGGTGTTTGCCTGCTCACCGGTCGACATATGCGAGTTTAAGATACGGTCTGTGCTCGGGGCTGCTGCTGTGGTGCACCAGAGCCCTGATGTGCTGCAGATGGAACGTCACTGCCCCGTCATGCACTCGACCATCAGTTGGAGATCTACAAGAGATTAGCCCTTTAATATCGTAGACAACGTCCACTTCCAGATAACGTCCGTCGCGATTTGTCGCCATCCCCGTGTGTGTGCAAGCGCAGAGTGTGTGTCTTTTGTCATTTCCTTCGCGCGCGCCTCTCTGCGCGCGCTCAGTTCCCCGCGTTAGAGTCAGAGTCGCCGATGAACCAGCGCATGTGGAAGCAGAGGGCGAGGAAGCCGGTGCCCAGCAGGTCGCCCAGAGCGGTCAGGTAGGGGATGGAGAAGTTGTCGGGGTCCATGCCGCGCCCCCACATCCAGTGCACCATCCAGTCTGCCAGGTAGAGGAGGATTAACACCTGCAAGCAGACGCAAAGCACAGCGCCTTCAGCTCAGTTCTCACTTACTGGGAGGAGGAGCGGGTCAGTTTTTGTAATCAGGATTGTGGTTTCCTCTTGAAGTCAGAGTAGTAACGCCCGATCAGGTCTGAGGGGGCCAGTAACAGTCCCTCTCCTCGGCTTTAGCCATCGAGAAAAGAGCACGCTTGTACCTGTAGTAGAGCGGCGACCATGTAGAAGGAAACAAAGAGCGCCGTCAGGGTGGTGTGCCCCCCCCTCAGAGAGTTGATGGTGTAGAGGAAGGCGAGGTGACCCGGGGCGACCAGGAGGAAGAGCACTCGGGCCGAGCGGGAGTTCACAGCTGCAACAGAAAAGAGGACCAAAAGGACGCGGGTGAGGACGAGACGGAGGCGGCGGAAAACGTTTGCGCAGCTCCGCCCGCCAACTCACAGGAGCCGAAGAAGGAGGCGCAGGGGGTGGGGCACTTCCTGGGGATGTGGTTGGGGTCCCCCATGGGGAGGCCGTTCATGTGCAGGTAGGTGGAGATTCGACTGGCCTGCACTGCGACCAGGTTACCTCCCACCCCTGAAACACACACACAGCGTCAAACACGGAATAAGATCACAACATTGGTTTGATGACATTGAACACATGATTGTTCTGGTCATTTTTAACACAAATGGCAAACTACGTGAAATATTGGTTCTCATTTGTCATGTGAAAAGGAGCTAAATCTATTAATCTATATACAAAATCTAATCTATATACAAAACTCCTCGTCTGCTCACCATTGATGACCGGGGTGAAGACCGCCATGCCAGCAAAGTTTGGGTTGGTGACGGTCTTGTCGAGGATCAAACCACCAACACTGAGAGACAGACGAGAGGGATTAGCTGACGAGACATCAAGTACACAAAAGATCCACAATCAAGGTTCTGCAAGAAGAAACATGATACATTTATTATACATTAATGCAAATGAACGAAACTTCAGTAGAATCGTGTTATTTTAATTCTGACATTGATTTGCATAAATGATGCTCAATAACAGGTTGTCAAAACCCAAAATCTCAGCGTGTGTGTAGTGTTATAATCAATGGGCTCAATCTACTTTTGATCAATACCTTAGTTAAATGATGAAATAATTAAGGCCAGCTCAGAGTTTTTTTTTTTTTTTTTTAAACCTGCTTGAATCTGACGGTAAGAACACAAAACACGAGTGTGAACCTGAAGATGAGCACTTTGAGGCACTCGGTTCCTGCAGACACTTCCAGAAGCTGACGTATCAATACGTGTAAACAAGGGATTATTGATAGTGAAATTCGTGAGGATATTGGCAGCTTGTGCATAATATAATCAACGTAGCAGCCCATCGGGAGGCCATTTTATGGTCACCTGTGCAAGCAGGTAACTGCTGCGTGCCGTACCTGCTGATTGCCATGGCGATGATGACCGGCTCCCAGCCGGAGTACAGCAGTTCTCGGGTGGATGGGATCCTCCTGGCTATCAGCACCCATAGGGGGCACAGGGCCACAAACACGGCGCACACCAGCGGGTTGGCGTAGTCGTTGAACTCTGCGCGGGGGGAAGAGGAGGAGGGTTCACACACCAAGCAGGCTGTCGTTCATTTTAAAAGATGCTCCCCCACTAGTCATCGGTGACGTATTCAAATGTGGGGAATTCTTCAGCTGTATCACTACCGGCGACGTTTGTGTGCTGAAGGGAAAACAAAACAATGCTATGGGACAATAACAGCATTCCACAGAATCCATACGACGTTTCCCATCATTCCAGCTGCAATATGCTGCAAAACAAGGCCGTGGACAAATAACAGCTGAAGACAGCTTGTGAGGACAGAGCAGGACTAGATGTGGACAGTTAGGGGGCAGTGTTCACTACGAGACACTCAAAAGGAGCAGAGTTTGTCAGCAGGGTGCAGCATGTGAAGTGAGTACGACCGCACGGTTTGCAGACTGTGCGACGGGAGGATTTCCCCCACGCTCCGGTGAGCACGGACGTCCCTGCTCCTTTGTGCTCCAGGGTTTGTCCGTGGCCGCGGGACGTGAAACTGGGCCGGTCCCAGGCTGACAGACACGACGTCGGAGCCAACAATAGCTGGTGGATTTTGGGCTCCAAGCCACAGTCAAGTCAGCTGCGCGTGGCCCTCGGTCTTACGTGACGCACGCAGAAAGCGGCAGAGTCACATAGCAAACATTTCTACAAACGCCGCTCCCTTTCACTGTCATTGTCAAAAGGTACGAGAGGCGTTGCTGGTTCCATCACGTCAACCGCTGAAACATTGTGTTATTCTATTGCATTGTTGCGTGTGAATCATCCTGCTATACGGGAACGCACAGTATTCTGAGAAACTATTCTATATTCTGTAATGTTTTCACATTCCGACTCCTACATACGCTTCTCGCTCTCGCTCTTTGCAGATAAAAATTGGGCGAGAACTAGGTTATAAAACAATGCAAAATAAGGCCAAAGTGTCAATTAGTGGCCATTAACCGAGCCTCTCAGATGCTCCATGTACCACCTGTGCGTGTTTATTACCGAGCTCCTTGTAGAGGCCGGTTGAGATGCCTGCCAGCACGGACAGGGTGATCAGGTCTCCCAGGCTGGCGGCGATGGGCGTGGCCACGTTGTCAGGGTTGATGCCGACTTTCCTGGACGCGATGATCACGCCGATCATGATGACCCCTGTGGGATTTCAAGGAGAAGCCTCAGTGGAGCGTGCCGACATGTGTAGATGCGTTATATGTGGAATTGTCATCTGGATGCTAGAATATATATATATATATATATATATATATATATATATAAAAAAATCTCAAAGTTACCCTTCAAACTTAAATTAAAAAATCGAATGTAAACAGCGTTTCCCAGGACTTGAGCCCTAAAGCATACTTTGCTTTATTGTCAATTCTACAGAATGCTTGTTTTGAGACATTGGCTTTGTTTGTCGCATGTGCACGAGACGTGCGCGGCGAGTAGCTGTTCACACTGTAGCTGTGTAAGCGGAGGCCCTACCAAGCAGCAGAGAGGCGATGAAGGCGGTCGCCACACTGGAGGCACACAGCAGCACGGCGTGGCCGAGCCGAAAGTGTCCCTCAGGGATCCAGCCGAAGATCACAGCAGCTATGGAGGCCAGGAAGCCCACCACTGTGGCCTGCACCTGAACACACACACACACAGGCATCGATGGACACACTTCCATGGCATTAATCGCATATATATATATATGATATATTATATATCATATATATATATATATATATGATATATTATATATGATATATATATATATATATATATATATATATATATATATATATATATATGATATATATATATATATATATATATATATATAATATAAATATAATATATATAGAAATATATATAATATATATATATATTCAAATATATATATATATAGAAATATATACACATATTATATATATAGTATAAATATATCAATTTTATATATTATATATAAATAAATAAATATATAATAAAATAGCTTTGGTTTTGTATTTGGTTTGATTCAATTCATCTTAAATTCTGATTTACGAGAAATGTTTAAACGGCTAATAGTGCTTTTAAAAAGCACCTTATTTAAACTGTTTGCATAAATAAAAGTGCACAATACATGACGTTTATTGATGTATGTGGGGCATTATTGCCCCACATACATCAAGCTGTATTTCCAGTGTAGACCCTCCTTCCCTTACTCAGTTATTAGCTTTTTAATAATACATCAGAACACCGTAGCTGGAGCAGACAAGGATCCATTCACAGATTTCTTTTATTTGTATGAATTATCTTTTTACATTAGATTAAACTTAACATTACAATTAGTAAGGATACACCACACCAACTCTAAACCTACATCTATTTTTAGAATGTATTCAAAGGGTTCAAAACACCCATTTAAAACCTGTTTTTTTCTTTCTTCGCTTCCATCCGGTTTTTCCGGTATTGCTTCCATGTGCCAATCACTTTTCTCAAAGACAAGTTAAAGCTTCTGTGCCAAAGTAACACAGACTTTCAACCGGTTAGCAAAATGTTACTTTGTTCACTGGCTAAGAAATAGAGAGCCGGTTTAAATCACCCCGGTTTGCTGCATCACAGCCGTAGTGTCACAACTTAACACGCAAAGTGAAATCTGTGACACCAGAATCAGTGCATCCGGACCCCCAGATGGGAGCTCGCGTCCGCACTGGGTTAAATGTTCCAGCTAGTATGGACTCACGTAACGTTACGTAAGCACAGGCCCACTTCAAATGGCAGACCCTCAGGGGGGGGGGGGGGGGGCACGTGGGTCAACTTTCCCCATAGAGGAATCTCTGCTCAATGTGAGCCGCAAAACACGAAAAAAAGAGAGAGACGGCTCATGGTGTTCCCCGTCCCAGCCGGGGCGTCACTCAGGTGGAGTTATTTGCTAAATGTTCACGACTGTTTCACCTGTTTGGGTGTGGGATACGTACACCTGGTTCATTGGAGGAATGAAGTCGGACCGGACAATCGGTGAAAAATTGCTCTGGTGACGTAGCGTGTGTGTGTGTGTGTGTGTGGCGAGAAATGATTTAATTCATTTATTCCTTTGTGACGAGAGTTGAGTGTTCAGAGATTAAAATAACAAAGAGAGACCTGATTATTTGCCCGTGTAAAACTTTAAAAGTTGCTTTTTGTAAAGCAGGATAAAGATCCGGGACACGGATCACGACGCTGTGACAAACAAGCAAAGGCCTCGTTACTTAAAGCGGTGCGTTTCTTTCTTTTCTTTCAGCTCTTTTTTCTCACGGGGTCACAGGGCGGGAGAGGGGGGGGGGGGCAACCACAGTAATGAACATACAGCATCGAGCCAAAGGGTTTTTCTCTGCAGGGTTCTTTCAATAACGTAGTTGACACGTACAATATCAATCGGAGCCTGTGAGAGGCAGAACGGACATATAGGGAGAGGAAATTACGATGAGTCACTCAGGACCTGAGACAATGTCTCCAACGTTTGAATGTAAACCGCGCAAAGACACAAACGTCACGGCGGATTTCTCCCGGTAACCTGTTTGCTTAAGTGACTTCAGTTCACACCCCCACAGAGGTTCTTCTCACCTGGATGAGAGCCAAGTTCCCCATTATCATCTTCCACATGTTCTTGGCTGTGTCCATCTGACCAATATTCGCCTGAAAGAGAGAAGAGGTCAACCTATTAGTGTGTGTGTGTGTGTGTGTGTGTGTGTGTGTGTGTGTGTGTACACATGCTGCTCACAAAAGGACAATCAGCTGTCAGTTCGTTGGACAAAGACACTGTGATGTGATCCCCCACCCTGCGACCGACTCCACTTATCTCATCGCCCTGCTTTGACACAAACACACACACGCACACGCGCACACACACGCTTACTGATGGTCTCAAGTGTGAAGTGACTGTGGCTACAGTGGGCTTCTGTGTGAGCCGAGCAATGATCCTGATGCTCATCCACACAGAGAGGACACAAACAGAGGACCCCTCTTCCTTCCTTCTCTCGAACATTTACAGATGCAGAGGGAAGAGAAACATCTGGAAGCATTGAAGACACACAAGTCCTCGGGGGCGGGGGGGGATTATCGGATTGACCCGATAATTAAATAAAGACGCATGAGGAGTGTATATGAGTAGACGTTACGTTCAATTTATGCCGTCGGAATGTCTGAGGGATGACCTCAGACTTTTCAGGGAGCGACGACCGATGAGACAGATCATCAAAACGTGAATCGTATTTCCTGACAACGGTAATTTGGAGGCAGGAAGTCGTTCTGTTAACGGATGGATGTTTGCGATGGGCAGGTGTAGTTTCACTGACCGCTGGTGATTGGTGACCATCTGACGTCATCTTAGCCACGTCAGCAGCGCTCGACTGCAAACCACTTTCATTAATAGGAAGGACCGCTAACTGGACAAAAACATCCTTGATATTGCCACGGTAACAGCTAACCAAAAAGCATTTCATAAAAACCTATTTTTTGGTATGGAGTCAATAAATAATATGTTTGATCTCTTTTCTTGCATTTAACTGCTCTCAGTAGTCTCTGTGTGCAGCTGCATTGTCACATAAAATACACCAATAAACCCACTGCACATATTGTTAGCAATTAAAGGGGACAGGTATCTCCAGAGATACTAGGGATGGCGTTTCTGCAGTTTGCTAAGTTGCCATGGCTACGTATCGGTTACCCCAAGTTGACTGAAAATGCTGCATTGAGTTTCCTTTAGAATATATATAGTGCCTTCAAATGGTTCGCAATATCCCTGCAGCTAGCGGTGCTAATGGTGCTAACAGGGTAACGAGCGCAAACAGTGCTGACCTTTGGGAGTCATTTGAGGGGAAATGGTGGCACGTTTTTCTCTGCTTGTGGCTTTTTTTCTTGCGCCCCAAATCCTCACAACATCGCGGCATCCTCGTACAACGACATTAAGACCTGTGCGTCTGCCAGACAGTCGCCGCGCGATTTCAAACCCCGTCCCGGCGCCATGCAAACGTGTGCACGGACGCCTCCTGACGTGTCCCAAGGCGGGCGGGCAGCTGCAAATGTTAAGATAAGAGAGTTGAGAGAGCATGCAACTCTGTGAAAATGTGAAGGGTGCAGATGTGGAGGATTTTTGTGCAATAAGAGTCAAAGAGTTTGTTCGCAGTTCATTGTAAAATGACCTTTTTGAGCAACAACATGCAAGAACGCTTCAGTGTACGGATGAGCGGAGAAATTCTCTGAGGCATCGCCTGGTGTTACGCAATGATGTGTGATGGCGATGACGCCGGGTCTTCGGCTACGAGTGTGTGTGTGTGTGTTTCTGGATTAGCGGTGTTCTGGTCGGGGGTCACTGTCGTCTAAGCGATTGAATGGATGACAAACAAAACAATGGAGAAAAAAAAAAAAAAGGCTTGCAACTATTCAAAAACATCACTACATTTTGAATCAAGACACTTTCAAGACACTAAACTTTTTACTTCAGAGCAAATCGGATGTTTGCAACATGTTGCAACCCGCAGACATGTCAACATATATGTAAATATATCTACATATTAAAAGATGTAATACACATAAAAGACGTAAAAAAGCGGTAAAAACAGGCACAACTCAGAGCTTAAGTAAAAAATATGTATTCAAACACGTAGAACCATGAACATGAGAGTGGACATGATAGAAGTGACAAAACAACTGCAAATACCCTCTGGTCAAATAAACAATGACAAGACAACACTCGTTTTGGCGATATACTGACAACGTGGTTAAAAAAAAAGGAAAAAATGAGAAAACGGTCATGCGAGTCAAAAATTCCAAGGGCCAGCCAGTCACTGGGATTACTGTATTTTTTCACTAATAAGCACATTATGAAACTTGCGGGGGTCTTAATCTGCTCATAATTAGCGGCAGCACGGAGAGAAACGTGGTCCCGCTGGGGCCACGTCGCAGGGCCTCGCTCTGGCCTACTTTGGGATGATTGACGTGAGAATCATTTTTCATGCTGGTTTCTAAACTACAGGAGCTTGACAAATTGGACCGTTGTGAAAAATAAGAGATTGAAAAGTTATTCTACCCGCTAATAAGTCCTAAAAATGACTTTAACTCCAATTTCTTGCAAAAATTGTGTTTGCAGGAAATGATATCATGATGACTTTGTTGCACGGTATAACATTTTATTTTAAAATGTTTAGTGACTTAAAAATAAGCACCACAGGTTCCAGACACCAACAACCGGTGGTGGTGGAAAATGTTCTAGGTGGGGCGATCCGACTGATTTCAGCAAAGATCCCAGAATGATTTAATGCAATAATCAAAAACACAAAACTAACTTGTAGTTCAATATTTAACACGACTGCAACACATAAACCATTTGTGAATAAAAGTCTAACAATTTTATTTGTGCCACTCTCACAGGCGATGCAATATAGACTATATATCAGGAAATTCAAAAGTTGCTCCCACTCAATGTTCCGGAACCGTTTGTCGATCCCAAATCGCTGTGATCAGAGACGTGTTGTTTCCCCCGGACGCCACGCAAAAACACACAAGATGTCTAACAGGACGCGGTGGTTAAAGACAGACAGAGAGCAGAGAAGTCTGATGAGTGTCTGTGAAAGCGCGAGGAGTTAAGAATTAAAGTGTTATTGAAAGGTTTGACCACATAGATCAGATTCTGGTTTCCACTATACTCTTCCAGCAATTACTTTCTGGGTTTATGAATTACTTGTTTGGTTCGTAAAATCTCTGACAAAAAGGATCATTGCTTCCCGAAGCGCAAGTACTCAAACAGTTTACTGTCACAGAGGAGTAAATATTAGAATTTATTTAGCAAAATAGCTAGAAGTGATTTGTTAATAACCCAAATAGTTGCCGATTCATTTGATATTTGACTAACTTTCTGATTCATTGTTGCAGTTCTATTTTTAGTTTAGAAGTGTTAGAAGATTTCAACTCCTTAACTCATTAAAAGCCATTGTGATCTTACTGGTCCTAATTATTCAACAACTCCCCTTGGATTAAGACATTTTGCACATGTGGATTTTCTGACAGATTAGTGTACTATAGACATTTAGGGAAACACTTCTGTTGCTAAACCGCTTCGTCATCGGTTTCACACAGGAAAGAATGTGAGGATTGCTGCGCGTAAGAGAGACTCTGGACTCGTTCTCTTGTGCCTCCATAACTGCAGGGTGTGCAGCTAGGTCGCTGACCCCTCAGACCATAGACTGGACCAAGTCAGCTCGGAGAACGGCCTCATGGGCCACAGCCGAGCCGCAGACAACAGATGTGTCAGCGGACGAGGTGGAGGACTTGTGGGAACAAAAAAAAAGCAGCTTTGTAAAATGTAAATGAGGATAGCCGGAGGATCGCTGTAGTTACACGAGATTCAAGAGATCATTTATCACGATACACTCCCTCAGATCAGGGGAATAAACCCGAGCAGCCGGCATTAATGATAATTTCACTATTTCCAGCATCCGATCCCAATCTGTCAATCCCAGTCAGGCCAAACTCACATCTGACCGTTTACCAAAAGGGGAAAAAAAGGGAAATCATTTGGCTGATAAACAATCCCCAAGTGAAACATGTGAGCGACGGGCAATGAGCCTGCTTGGCCCACTGGCCGCAGATGGACTTTAAAAGAGCTAAAGAGGATCCAACCCTGGAGGTGTGACGCTCCGAGAGTCAGCTTTTTTTTACCTGGAACATGGTTATGAATAGATAGCTTTGCTGATTTTATTATTTTGTGATTGTTGTTGGTAGATGCACAAAGGTTTACAAAGATTACCATTATTTACTCTCCTGAGCCACCCAATTGTAATCTATATACCAGGATAGGAACTAAAGATGAACAAAGATGTACAAAATACTCAGCCAAAACCAACCTGCATGCTCATCTGGAAAAATGACATCTGATCCCAACAATCAGCTTTAATGAGAGTTTACAGCCACAATCAATTGAAACGGTTTAGAAAATGTTGCAGTGAAATTAGAGTCCAGAAAAGTCCCCCACTGACGGACTCGGACGTCCCACCGGTCACTTTCTTCAAACTCCTCATGCACCAACCGCCAAGTCAAGTTCCTTGTATGTTGTATGAACATATTTTGGACATGGTGGATATTAAGTACTTTGGGATGATAAAGCTAAGACAATCACTAACACACACACACACACACACACACACACACACACACACACACTTCTTACCGCGGTGGAAAGTCTGGAGGCCAACGTCATCTCCAGGTTGCCTTTGAGTCCCAGCAGCGCCGGCACCAGGATGAAAACCTCTGACACCTCCGTGAACACCGTCCAGTGCTGCAATGACCACCGTAAAATAAGATTAGATTCACCTTTATAGTCATTGCAGAGAGCACAGGTAGCGAAATATATATCAGGGACACAACACTGACGTAATGACGTCACACATATTGGATTGGCACACACACACATCAGGCCGGCTAAATCTAAAGGGCAACTTTGGCAGGTGTCGGGCTTCGCACCTGCAAGAGAACCCTTCAGCTAAACCTATTGTAACATTTAAAGACGGTGTTATTAGACCTGCCCCTCAGTCACCTCCACCCTGGCTGCTGGCCGGGCCGTGTGTTGGATCCCCTGTGAAACCTCGGTTTCACTTTAGCAAGACTTTTGTGGTAGAATGTGCCATATGTGCCCTCAGTGGTTTCTGCATAGTGTCCACTGAGACTTGACTGATTGGACAGGAATTGAACATACGGTATATTTTGCCGTGAGTTGATGAATTGTGAGAGCCAGGCGACCTCCGCATGTGGTCCGGCCAATCAGTGCGAGATACGTCAGTGTTCACGCAGCGATAGCAGGTTCGCCGCCTTCTGTTTCCAGCAACAAAACAGAGGAGTTGCCGAACACTGCTGCCCCCCCCCCCCCCATCTCTCTCACGTGAGCGTGCTTGTGTTTCTGTTTCACTACGTCGCTCCCACTGCGCCTCCAGATGTACGGGACAGATAAGGGCAGTGGTCTACGGTCTCGGTTTGTAGGGGCGTGGCACCAAAACCCCAGTGTGGGTTAAACTCCCCCCGTCTAATCCCCTCGCTGTCACCGGGCCAAGCAGAGCCAGCGCCCCGGCCCGGCGCGCTGCCCTCTGCCAGGCAGCCTTGTGAGCGCCCTTCTCTTATTTCACAGCCGCGTGTTTTCAAGCTTTCTCCCCCTCTGTACTTCCGTCTCACTCCCCTATCACCCTCTTTTTCTCCCCCGTGGTGATATATGTTGTTGTCTCCATGGAACGCTGGCCATGAGCCAAGCCAGCCCTCCCTCCCTCCCTCCTCGTGGCCACCTCCTCGGTTCCAGGAACTCGACTGGACGGCCCCAGTACCTCTGTGTGCAGACCTATAGGAGCTCTGGTATGCGAAAGCCTCCGCACGGGACGGGTTGCCCGGTTGAGCAACAAGGCCCAACGTTATCTGCGATTTGCGTTTTCTTCTTGTACCGGAGCGGCGAGCTGAAGCGGATAGCACCCCGATGCGGACGCACTTGGGGCAGCGGCACAAAAACAAAATCAAGTGGTGTCTGTTTCCACCGGAAGGGGGTGGCACATTTGGGCCTCCAAAGGCTCCAAAGCCTGCCCTTGCAAGGGCAAAATTAACATAACCCGGGGGGGGGGGGGGGGCAAAAGTAATGGCCGCACTGGAGTCGAACCTGAGAGAGGAACAGCAGCTATGAAACAGAACCTCTTTGGCATTACAGAAATATTCTACCCACAGTACGAACCCGAGCCCGTCTCACTTTGAGTTCTTGAACATGGAGCCCAAAAAGCTGAGAAAAGTCTTGATGCATTGAAGGAAATATAGGCTTATGTTTAGAAACACCTAAAGTACATCGAATCATCCGTCAAATGCCACAACTTGCAGGACAGGGAGGCTCAATTACACAGTTGTCTGCTTACTCATCTTCCAAAAAATGCATCTTCATGCTCTAAAATCTCAGTATTAGAAAATACTTCTGCATTAGCAGTTTACCTCGGGAAAGATATTTTCTCTGTTTTTTGCTTTTTAAGATGGGTCATGTCGTGGGTGAGCTTCCCTTTTAAACCAGAGGCCCCCCCCCCCCGAAGCTCTTAAAAGTTTTGCCCCGATGGAGCCCGAGATGCGGGTTGTTGGCGTCGAGGACAGATGAAGGTGGGTTTAGCCTAAAATATCCGACAAGGGTTGAGTGCAAATTCGCAACCCGGGACCCTCGAAGGACTCTGGACGGAGCGAAATGTCAACCAGGGTTTGGAGCGGCACAAAAGTTGTTGTTGACGAGGCTCGTTGGGCCATCTTGAGATGACGGGAAAGACCAATGCGGTTACATGGGCCGGGGCAAGCAGGGGCCAGCCGCCGGATGATGAATAAGCCCAGTCTCTGGGTCGTGGCTCCCGTGTGTAAACCAGCCACGTGTCTTGTGAGCGGGCCGGTGTGTTGAACCCTTATTGTTTCATGTTCACTGTTCCCTGTATTTTTGGCCATTCTGAAGAGGCGTACCACCTTTTCAGAGCTTCATTTTAGTGTTTAAGTCCACAGACGGCTAGAAACTGAGGCAGACACATAAGTGATAGTTAGAGAGCACTGGGCCGACAAGTTGCATTCTTGGTTTGCGGTCTCCGCTGCAAAGAGGCTTGATATCCGAGTGACGCCACGTTGGCCTTTGACATTGGCATTCTAGGGAAAACCAGCAGTTCTTGACCTTTCCCACCCACGCGGGTCACCCGAGTGAGCCCCGTCTCCAGCCCCGGCTCAAAGAGGCCGACGGTTTTAGGCGACGGCGCTGCCAAGTCACTAGGCAGAGTATGCCGACGTCCTCTATACCAGCCCGGACGGACCTTTCTAGGCCAGGCCCCAAATGAGAGCGAGGCCATGGAGCTCTGTTCGGATGTGTGTGTGTGTGTGTGTGTGTGTGCTGTACATGGTCAAAAGTTGAAGAGGTGAAATTCAAAAGAAGTGTTGCAAAAATGCCCCGGTCTAAAACTCAAGTACAGGCGAGGGCGTTGAATAAAGGCTTCAGTGGAGTTTCCAAGGCTCCTTTTAGCATAGAGAGAGAGAGAGAATGAGAGCGAGAGAGACAATTACCTTCCTGCAAGGACGGGGGGGGGGGATTAGTGGAGTTCGCGTTCCCCGGTGTCATGAAGAAGGGAATTAGGATGCGAGAAAACCTGCTGGATGCTCAGCTGAACCATCTGTAACGATCGCGTCCAGCACAAAGTCGAGTCTCACGTCGCGCCTGCAGCTACTTCATGGTTCGGCCGCTCCGGCAAAACCACGGCTGACGACAGGTTCTGTGTCTCCCTTTTTCTCCCCGGCCTTACCACCAATGAGCAATAGTGCACTGTGTGTTTTGGAAACTGGAGGGACTGCAGCAGCATGGGGCCCAAGTTGAGGCAGCATGAAAACTTTTTTGACCTCAAACCTCTGCATTCCTGCTTTAGTGGAGATACCTAACTACTCGTCTCACTCGGAACTCGACTGTGGCGAGATGCCATCACAGGTGCTCGAATGAGAGTACGCTGCCCCCTCCCTGCCTGCCTGTGTTTTCTCCCGGGTCTACCATGCTGGCACCGGTATGCGTGTACACGATGTGCCGGGACCGGTCGGCTGGCAGCCCGACGCCTCCAGCTTTATCTCCATCATAAGCTGACTCTGAGGAAACACACGAGCGTGACTTTGGCCTGCAAACCTACACCCTGGGACGTGCACTCCGGTCCAAAGACAGTAAATCAACCGTAAAAAGAGAACTTCTGAACGCACTCGTGTGTTTCCTTGGAGGCAGCAGCTCTCTGGGCACACACACACACACACACTCACACACACGGTGCACCAGTATGTGCCATCCTTTAGCCTTGTAGGTGAGAAAGCTCATGTAAATATCCCTACGGTGTGTGTGTGTGTGTGTGTGACGCCCATCACCAAACCCATGACGGCAGACGGACCAGCTGTGACAGACACACCGCGTCCAACCAGTTCGGTCACACGGGTTCGACTAACCTGCATCACTCGGCTTCCTTCAGGCGTGTGCGGTTAAAAGGTCATTCTACTATTGGTATTTCTGTGTTTTAAACTAATTTCTCTTAAGTGCTGCTTAAACAAGCCCAGGGGCTCCCCTCATCTTGTTAAGAGCACCTTCCATTTAGCTTGAACATACGGTATATTTAGCAGAATATTGAGCTATTTTCCTCTTGCTTCTCTCTGGTAGGAGTCAAATATTGTTTTTCTTCCCACCATCTCCCCAAGTACCTGAACTAATGACATTTCTATTGCCGTTGGTATAAATGGTCTTTAGGCCCTTTGCTGCGATCCAAAAAGAAAGAAAGAACAAACTGACCCAGTTTACTTGGATTTCCCAGTTCCGCATGCGCACTATGTAGCAGAGGAAGTGTTGGCGATCGCTCACCTGAACAATGTCGAGCACCATTCCGGCCGCCACCGTCCCAAACCCGGCCAGCAGGAAGGGGAAGACCACCTGTAGGCCGATGGAGAAGGAGGTCTCCTTGAGGGGGGGCGGCGGCTCCGGGCTCTGGTCGGTGCTGGTGTCGTCGCTCTCGTTGCACTGGCTGGCGTTCTCCAGCAGGGCGTCCTCCTCCCTCTGACCTTTGGCGTTGGCCCGGCAGTCCATCGCCACCACAATCTCCGACCTCTCCTCATCCCCACCGGCCTCGCCGGCCCTCTCTGCGAGCGACGTGACCTCTGTGAGCTCCAACTCGCCGCCGGTGTCCGGGCCCACCTCCTCGGGGCCCGCGGCGAGGATCACCGGGGAGACGGAGCCGTTGGAGTTAAGCAGGGGCAGTGACGGGGGCCCTCCCTCCATCTTCGCCTCAATGGCCCCGGAGGACATGTCGACGTCGGGGAGTTTGTCTTTCGACCAAAGTACCATGCGGACGCCTTTGGAGGACAATTGGCTTGACAAGAAAGGGTCCGCTTGTTTTCGGGGAAGTCACAATGGAATCGGTCACCTGATCTGGTTTTGGACCTGATCAGTCCAATTGATTTATCCCATTAAAGAGGCTGACAGGGACTTGGGGGTCGCTACTAAAGACCGGCAGAAGACGGCACTGGAGCAAAAAAAACTTTGGCGAGCCGCACGCAGCCGCGGTTCTGCTGAGCCTGTGTTCCTGTCGGTGCTTCGGGAGCAGAACCAGTATGTTCTCCATTCACTGCAAGGTGCTTAGGGTAGACTGGCGGAAAAAAAGTGGCATACTAGTTGAAAACAAAAGACGAAGAAGGGAAAAGAAGAGGGGACTTGCCAGATAAATCCCCAACCAGCCACTTGTAAACAGTCCTCGGAAAGTTTCGCTTGAGCTGCGGGGAAAGAAATTTGAATCAGAGGTCCGAAGTGGGAAGATGGCAGCGCCGACTGGTCATGCTCGCAGTCCACTGATCATGGCAGACTGGTCAGGCTGGGAATGTCTCTCCTTACAACACGTGGCTGCTTTGAGGTTTGCAAGTCAGATATTTAAAGGTCTGCAATATGAAGATTGAATTGCAGCCTGCGGGAAAAGGTTCCTCTCCAAGTAGAGGGGGCTGTCACCTGGGGAGAGAGCACGTTCATTGATTATTCCAAATTACTAGAATATTAAAATCCTTAATGTGAACCACTTTCAGAAAACTACAATCGAGCGAGCAAAGAGAAATCCTTGATCAATGTTAATTAAAAAATAAAACATAACATAACAAAACATGTCAATGTTACAAGGATATTAGACGCATATAAAAACACAAACAAAAATGTGAACTCACCCCAATAATATTACACAACTGCTAGAATCTCGAAAACGAACCCTTGAACGTCACACAGTGTCCTCGCAGGGACGCTCGTGCAACTGTCTCCGCGGACTTCACGTGAGGACTGAGCCCAAAGAAACACTTTCAAAAGAGTTTCATCCAGCGCCAAATTCCCTCCCGGCGGCTGAAACTATTTCTACCAACATCTGAGGTGCTGCGTACATCTCCTGCAGCAGGAGGGCCACACGAACATCAAGTCTCCGCCACTGACGTCGGGAGGGCGGCGCTCGCGGTCTCCGCTTTTCAAATTAAGCGCACCGCTTCCGGTCAGACGAGCACGAATCTACGGAGAAACAAAAAAAATAAAAAAAATAACGTGGGAATGGTCGGTTGAGAGAAATGTATATGAGAGCTTTCCACTCCAGACCGACAGATGTCACAAAATAAACCCGACGCTGGTAATATTCATGTCAAGCTAGCGGCGGTTAATACGCGGTGAGACCTTTAAAATGTCCTCCTCTCGACCCTTCGGAACAAACAAACAGCAACTCGGCACGCGCGAACGTTGGACTCAGCATGACACTCGAAATAAGACTGTCACGGGACGCTGTCAGTTGGGCTCTTATTTTGAAAGCCCACGCGTGCGTTTCCTGCCGTACCGCTGCCGGCTTGACGCGGCTTCCATCCCGCCTGCGTGTTGCGACATCAGCACGCAGCGTTTGGCTCCCCGCGCGCTCAAGCAGCCCTCTGTTTAGTAGTCCGGACCAACACCGCCCGAACCCAACATGGCGAAGGCGTAAATTAGCGCTCCCCTGGTCAGCGCTGAATAGGAGGACCCTCCTCTTCTGTTCCACTGCCCGCTGGGACGAGGTCACGGGAGGGGGGGGGAGGGGGGGGGGTTCTGCTCCGACGCCGGGCTGGGAGCTCGCGCTTCCGCCACGCGCAACTCATCTGCCCTGTTTTTCACTTCGGTCACCTGGGGTACAAGCGGGGGGGGGCAACTTGGCAACTTGGCAGTTTGAGTCGCCAAGTGACGCGTTCCGTCAGATAAACGCTTCTCTCTCGCGCAGCCGGTCGCTCGTTCGGTTCTATGAGACCCGCCAATCAAAATAGCAATAGTGCACTGTGTGACGGCCCAGCGGGACGTCAGGAAAGAGCCCCCCCCTCCCTCCTCCCCCGCGGTGGTTACCTGGTGTCGTCCCGGGGAGCAGCAGGCGATGGTCGGTAAGGGAGACGCGCTGCGCGTAAGCCTCCACCTCTTGGTAACAGCGCTCCGACAGCGATGCGCACGCCTTTAAGAAGCCCACGGTACCGGTTGACGCACAGCTTCCTCGGATGGGGGGGGGGGGTGTTAATGGTTAAACACGTGCTTCTCCTGCGGTATCGTCCCCCCAGTCTCTGTCCATTCGACCCGGTCACATTACACCCGACCAGTGGCCCCCGCCATGCGCGTCTATCACCCACCCCGTCCCGGGGCGGCGGGCCCTCCCCTGCACGGTAGGCCGGTGACACTGAGTCTCTGCCCCCCCCCCCCCCACGTGTGTGGAAATAATGTGCCCGTGCGGTGCCAGTCTCCCGCACATGCCTGCTAATTTACTACCAGGGGGTCACGGACAGAAGTTTGAATTTAACGACAGATTTCTGAACGAATGGACACGCACGCACGTCGGTGCCGTGGAACCGGGCCTCCGGTCAATGATCCTTCAACACGGAGAATAAATAAACGCACGCCTTACGTAAGGGTGGGGGGGGTTTGAAACGACCCCGAAAACCACACGAACCGCCACTTCAATAAGCGTAAAGCGTCTGGTGAGCAGGGAGCAACCTACCGAAACCTGTTATCTAACAGAGACATCGCGTATCGGTCCGGCCCTTGGAGAGGAGCCGCTGTCCCCAGATGACCCCGCTCCCCTCAGCTTTGTTTGCCCGTTGCTATACGGCGGCTCAGCATCAGCAGCCACAGCATCGCCCCGAGGGCATTGGGCTAAATGTACCAGCAAGAAGCAAAGTTAGCTTAGCACGAAGGCCTAGCAGTGCTCTGTGTAACTGGTAACATATTTTAGTTAAAGCTCAGCAAACAAACACGATAACATTTTGTTGGAGGCAATAAAGAAAACAGAAACACAAAGATAAGTAACTTTTCGGGCAGATGAAGATATTTTACTTCATCTTATACCACAGTATTTAAGCAAAAGGGATCATTTTTCAGGAGAGATGGAACATAATGTTCAAATCTCTCACAGTATTCATTGGTATTATTGAGCCCTTCATATCTACAGTTTCTTTGTCACGACCGGACAATGGACATGAACCCAATCGCACGACTCATACGGCAAAAGTTTATTACAAAAACACCCAGAATGAAAATCACTCTTGAAAGAGGAAAAACTACAATAAACCTGAAAACCAAAAGAGATCTATAGGAACTAAAGAAACACTTGAGATCGAACATGAACAAAGTCTCCAAGTCACAAGACCCGACAACGGCAAGTGGCTGCTTGGCGAGTCCTCTGGTACGAGGGACACGGTGACCTGGCACAGGACAAAGGGAGACGCAGGCATGTACACACAGGGGGAAGGTCACAGGTGCAAACAATCAGGGCCCGAGAAGACAATCGGACCGGCGCACGGGGGGGGGGGGGGGGGTGAAAGAGGCAAGCGGCCTGAAACGAGAGGAAGGTTCCTTTTCAAAATAAAACAGGAAATCAACATAGAGACAAGACACACTTGGACATGACAGTCCTCTTCGCAGTCCGCCATGTTGCTACAGGAGCCCAAAGCAGACAAACCAACCATCACAATTAAATGACTGATAATATGTTGTATTAATAGTCTCAATCTGCAGAGAAACCGCCCGTATTTTAAAGTCAATATGGAGTAAAATATTTGTCACGTGAGGCTAAATGTAAGGAAGGATACAAATGAGACACTAAAGCAGTACAAGTAAATTGTGCTGAAGTGCAGTACTTGAGTAAATGTACTTTTACGCAGAATAAACAAGATGTTAATGTGTTTAGAAGTGTTCTGTCGAGATGCTGGTATCAAATCTAACTTGATATTTGAACAGAGCAAGACTAGCCTTTTTGACCCTATATCAAAAATGTAAAAAAAAAAAAAGTAAAACGCCATGGGTTAAAATAATATAAGTCGCTTTGGATAAAAGCGTCAGCTAAATAACCTGTAATGTGATGTGATGTAATGTGATTACGCGTTACGGATTAAGCCGCCACGCATTGTTACAGTTACTGGAAGAAATCACAGATGACGTAGCTTCTCCGACTCAGCGTTCACATTCCACGCCAGCGGTTGTTAAACTCCTCGCTACGTTACAATGATTGGCATCAGGGTGATTTCAAACAGTCGTAGTATCGGCAGTCTGCACTCGGCCGTATCACAGCACACGACGCTTTGCTACAGCGCAGCAATAATGCACACACCAATAATGCCCAACACATCAACATCGTAGTCACTGAACTTTTATTTTTGCTGTTTTGACTTTCGCTGGTCCATGATAGAAAGAGGAAAGTCGGTCCATTCAATTAAGTTAATTAGTAAATAGGTTGTAAGCTGAAGTATGGCTGTGGGTTGGCCACGGCGCTGATAACACTGTACACGAGGGCCGGAGTTCGTTATTCATTTTAGTTCTCATGCCTCACTTGTTTGTGTAAATATTTCCTACTGTCTTGATTTCTAGGAATGTGTGACATTTAATTTGTTAGGGGTTTAAGAAGCAGATTTACTTATCTGTTATTATTATTATCTATAGTTTGCTGAACGTAGAGCGGAAAAGCAATTATTACGGGCCGATTTGATCTCTTTAACTCTGATACCTGGAACAGATCTCTGTTCACTCAACAGGAAAATATCAACAGTGCAAAATGTCTTGCGAGCAGTAATAAGTCACGGCAGCAATCTTTCAATCACAAAGTAGCACGCCCTGCATTGTTCTGCTCAATACGAGATCCGAATTTACAAATTGAACATCATGCTGCATGGAAGAATTGGTTAAACAAGCTATTAAGGCCATAAACTCATGTTTACAATGTTTTCTGAGGTAAACATCAAGAGAGAAGTCATTTCGTCCAAAAACTTATTTTAGCAATTGGAGGAGTCGCCCCCTGCTGGTCAGCAGGTATCATGCAGCTCAAGGCGTCGGCACCCTGCTCTGCTCTGACCACATTTCAGGTAAGAAGGAGCTTCTCCATCAGCCCAGCCGTCGTTTCTGCCTCCATCTTTTCGCTCGGGGAGTAGTGAACCGCTCTGGAGACAGACCTTCATTGGCAGCTGTAGCAACTCCAGCGAAAGCTGAATAGCGAAAGCGCTCCTCAATGTTCCATCCATCCGAGAATTGCTTTGATGATTATCAATAAGTCAAAATGAGGCTAATCCTCCACCTACTGAATTTGCTTTTTATTATGAATCAATGTCTCTCTCTCTCTCTCACACACACACACACACACACACACACACACACACACACACACACACACACACACATAAATGTGTAATGTAAGTCAAAGACACATCTGAGTTTAACATCTCTGTCATTTATTGATTGGACAGGATGTGTTTTTGGCAGCATTTCAGCTAACAGCTACTATTTAACTGGAAATGTTCCGACAGACGCCGGCGCTGATTCAAAGTCTAACTGCAGTTTCATGTCTTCTAACAGCAGGAGTGAAAAAAGTAATATAATTAATTGTATTACATTATTATTATAATCAACCCCTTCTTAACAAGCATCTTCAAACCTGGAAATGATTCAACCCTCTGTCTCAGGGACACGCGGTGCAGCGAATCAAGGGCTACCTTAGTTCAGGTGTGCCAGGGGTTTGTTGAGAGGGACGTTTGATCGCATGTTATAAATAAGTCAATAGAAAAGGTCCATGAAGTTCACAACAGAGATCAGCAGCATCAAGGAGGAGGCCACAAGACGAGAGCAAAAGCAAGAAATGCCCCTGCAGATGCGGTTGGAGGAACAGTGGCTGCACTTCCTGGACGTGGCAGGAAGAGGAAACCACCAGATTCCCGAGGAGACAAGCGGTGAAAAACCCTCGAGCGAACACACACCTGCAGCAGTAAACACTGAAAACCATGTAAATAAGCCACCAAAGCTTCGTAATTCTGTTCTGTGCAGCGACGAATCAAAACTGGAGCTTTGGGGCAGAAGAATGAAGCCGATGGCGAACAGAACGCCGGGCTCACGGTGAAGCATGGCGGAGGCCCCGCGGTGCTGTGGGCGGCTTTGCTGCCTCTGGAACTGGAAACCTGCATGTGGAGGTCACCGTGGATTCGTTTTAGGATACACACACACACACACACACACACACACACACACACACATTAAACTACTATTAAACAGAGCAGTATTTTATGTTAATGATCCTCCGGCCTTCTTTTTTATTTTTTCAAACGAGGAAGTGAGGTGAAAAACGAGAAAAACACCGCTGGGCCCCAGAGTGGCGGTCCCTGGCAACGCCGAGGCGGTCTGTGCCAGTTTCGGGCCACTTCTGTCCCGGGACTTCTTTGAGCCCAGAAGAATGTCAGGGGGGGAGACTTGGAAACCTTCACTCAGAATGAATGTCTCTCTCTCTTTCTCTCTCTCTCTCTCTCTCATCATGCGGTCACTTCGTTCCGTTGGGTAAATTAGGGCTTTTTTATTACTACTACGTCTAGATGTTGCAGTTTTCATCAACATTCCTATTGGCATTTATATCACTGCATTAAAACAACCTTTTCATTGAGTCCTGGAGACAAATCACAGAGCGAAAGCATGCGTGGAATCTGGTCGGATACACCATCGGTTAAAATGTTGCCCGGCAAACGTTGAGAAAGTCAGTACCGCTCTTTGCTTTTCTTGCTAGTTTTGAAAGCATGTGCTACGCTGACCTCCACATGAGAGGCGGCAGGAGGCCATTGTTGTTGTGGGCGGATTGTGCCGTTGAAATAACCGAAAGAAAACGTAGAAATAGACTTTGTGAATAGCATTAAAGACAGCGGATGTGCAAGCCCTACTGAGGAAAAACCTCAATCTGGAGAACGTGGCGTCGGGAGGACGCGATTGTGGATTGTGGCTGAAACAAACGAGGGACTTTCACCCAGTCCTCCGCTGTCCGTGTCAAAACCAGCAGTTTTTCTTTGTCATTACTTATTATTTAGCCGTACCTACTTACGTCTCATGTAACAAACGTTCTTTTCTTTCGCCCACCAAACCTGCTCCCTGTGAACGCAGAGGTTTGTTTTGAAAATACAACGCACGAGTGAAACTATTCATAGAGCGTCACAGTTTGAGGCGATGAGCCACTGACCCGGCGTCGCTATCAGAAGAGTTCAACTCATCAAATATCAGAATTCAGAAGTGCTGACATTGCAAAGTTACAAACAGACGGACTTTCACCCAGCAAACGTTACACAAGAAACACTCTTATTTAGATTTTTTTTTCAAAATAAGAGTGTAAGACATTTCGCTTGGTGATTATGTAAGAATGCAGTTTAGTAGTAAGCTCATTTCCAGCAGAGGGAGATAAGACACATTATCATTAGCGAGCTAATCTGCTGCCTTCTTTGCCATCTTACGGAGTGCTGTGGTTTACTCACGGTTTTCTTTTTGGCTCTGGGTTTGTTTCTGTGATCATGGCAACACAACATGTTAGATAAGCACATGTGGTGACTCACACATTCCCAATAACCAGCATGCAATAACGCACCTTCCAGTTGGCTTACATTCCAATTCCTGCACGCTCTATTCCGCCATTACCAGTTGCGATCGGTGCAGGTGGAAAGTGCTCGTCCTGACCTCTGACCCCGGGCTCTGAGCCGCGACCTTTCCGAATGTTCGTACAGTAGCATGATTAAAAAAAGTTACTCATTCAGACAAACAGACACTGCAACATTGACAACGTGCTACACAATTACAACCAGTCACACCGATTGACCTCCTTTAAGTGTGTGTGTGTGTGTGTGTGTGTGTGTGAAGAATAACCTCCCATGGGCAGCACATGGCTCACCCATTTAAACCAAACAGACATCATTGAAAGATGGAAAATTGACGGATGGAGACTGAAGCCGTTTCTTGCTTGGTCCACGGAGGAGTTAGACATTGTGTGCGTCCATCCATGTGGGATTAATGATTTATTGCCGTGCTTGTGTTTAACGATACGTCCACTGAACGTTTCCTTCTCTATCAAACCAGGCGGTGGTGACACGCCCATTCGGTCAGTCACCTTGAAAGCCGCTTATCCTTCCCAGAGGACTGCTGGGGGGAGAGGGGGGGAGTCCCAGTCAATGTCGGCCCAGAGACGAGGTACACCAATCCCAGGGCTGACACGGAGACAAACAACCACAACCACAGGCAATTTAGGGTCACCCACGAACCTAATGCCCGGGGCATGTCACTGGACTGGAGGAAGAAGCCGGAGAGAACCAACGCAGACACATGCAGACTCCCCCAGACGAACCCGGGACGAACCCGGGACGAACCGGGACGAACCCGGGACGAACCGGGCCACCAGATGAAACCACAATGATGCAAAATTCTTCATGTGCCGGTTCGGAAAAGTATCCTGTACTTAAGTATGGAGTCTGAAATGGAGACGCCATGTATGATTATAACAAACCCTTTTGTGTAGAGCTTCTAAATGAAGCCAAATATGCTTCACGAAATAAAAGGAAACCACCTTTCAGACAGCGTACTCAAAACTTCAACTAAAATGCTGCTTTCTGTAGAGAGAACACACACTCACACACACACACACACACACACACACACACACACACACACGCAAATACTTGGGGCTGACATGTAAAGTGACATCAAAGCTTTCTGCCAATAGCCCAAAGAATGAATAGGCAACCTCACGTCCTTTGCTGTGTATCTGGGAGTGATGAAGAGAGCCAACCGGCTCTTCCTCCCGACATACTGTAGAAATGCCGACGCTTGGAGAGCGGCCCTCGGGCGGCACTGACGTACGCTTCGCAATCTGTGTGCGAAGCGCTGTCCCCCCGTCGGATGGGTGAAACAAACACAGGACATTCACCCGTTCGGGTCCACGTGGGAAACCAGTCCACCAATGACTTACTTTATCACTGTCAGGCAAGTTAACGGCAACCACGCTCTGCTTCCGCTTCTCTTTTCATCTGAACCTAACCTCCTGTGGGGACCATGTCTTTAAAGAACCGTCTCGACGTGTCCAATCCGGACGCTAGGATACCTGGCAGTATGGTTAGAAGATCAGGCTTTAAGTGCAGTGGTGCAAATGAAATATAGTTTCCTGTACCTTTTATTTTCCTTTTACTTGAATGGTTAAGTGAGAGTCAGTGGTACAGGGCCAATAACTGTGCCCTCCTGTGTCTCTATAAGCAGCTGGTTTGATCGCATTAATGTGGAAAAAACCCAGCACGGAATACAGCAACCACAAAAAGCATCACTTGAATCCCATCAAACCATTTTATCCCAGACGATGTCCAAAATGTTTGCGTGTGTGTAGAGAAAATGCTTTATCCTGGCAGAGGAAATCAGCCTGTAGAGGTCAAACTGACTCCTGTATCCTTCATATTGTAAACTCTTCTCTCAAAATACCATTTCTCAATATCATAAATGATGCATTCAGGGAATGCAGTTAGTAACAGGGTGAGCTTTGCGTTAGCGCCAATCAATCTAAATCAGGGGTATTCAACGGTTTTCAGGCCAAGGAACCCCAAACCGATGGCGAGATGGAGCAGGGACCCCCGATTCTACGGAGTTTGGTCCGCCATCTTTTATTTTTGAGCTTCGCGCTCTTTGACGGGAGCATAAACGCGCTCGGATTGGCTGCTGCCTGAGCTGTCGTATCAGCACGAAAGACGCTGTGAGTGAACCGGTGCCCAGCTTGCCAGAGCTGCTGCGTGTAGCTGAATGTGTGCGTTGTGGACTGAAAGATAACGTCTTCTCGATTAATTTATCCGTTCGCTACGATATGTTGGATTCATGTTGATTTCTATTACAATACAATTCGGAAGACATTTGAATTTGTGGAAAAAAAATTGTTGGAAAGAAGAAAAAACGTTGCAGACCCCCTGTTGAAGACCTCTGATCTAAAGGCTTGGCAAAAGGGTAAATTAATGAGACAAAGTACCTGCACATGTATTAATATCAGTTTTACTCTGCAGATCTCACGTGAGTAAATACCGCCATCTAGTGGAGGACAAGTGCAATACAAACCACAGAGCCCATTTATTCCACTGTATAAGACTACGGCTATCTCCAATAACACGGAAATCAGAAATGCATCATGCTGAGGGATGAAACACAATGGAACAGTTCACACATTTCGTACATCTTGCACGGCGACGACCTCACACCAGCCGGCAGATCGTCTCTGCATCGAGTGTGTAACGTCACTACCTGAGTAACTGATGGTCGCCACAGCACGGTACTAAAGGAACACTGAAGAAACAACGGTATTGCTGCAGGAATTCTACGTGTTCTACAATCAGTCGGAGTCGTACCCGATCTGTTTCTTTGCCTACAACAGCAGCTTTCAACAAGCAGCATATTGCCCTTTAATACATGAAATGCATCACATTGAGGCTATCGTACCCACAGGTGTGCACTGTTACGGCACAGAAACAGATGTGCACCGTTACAACACTGTTACATGCTTCCCAGTGCAATCCCCCACAATGCACGAGAGAGGAGTGGTGGTAACTCAGTGTTAATGTCGCTTTAGTGCAAGTGTTCTTACAGTACATCTGAAACCGTCCTCGGAGTGAAAGGAAACCTTGAATCTATCAAACATTAAAATGCATATGTGCCATAAAACAGCTGGTCCATGCGTCCACATCGCCGGACGCACGAGCTAATCTTCTCCCTGTTGGCACGGCAACGTAACAGATGTGCTCCAACATACGACGACGGTAAAAAGAAAGAGCCAGCTCCTCCAGTGTGTGTGTGCTTTCATATTATGGAGGTGGGCTCAGTGTCCGTACAGCCCCAGCAGGGGGCGCTGCAGTCTGTTACTGTACACCTGAAGGGCTTTCGCTCTGACTTCATCTCTGTTCCTCTTCAGTGCCGCCGCGTGAGAGGCTCGTACAGCGGAATCCCTGCTTTCAATTACAGGTACTCCTCTTCTTTTACGTACAGGATCTCGTGGGCCGAGCTGGGAACCTGAGCGAGAGCGACAGAGAGAGTTTCATGATGCGTCACCTGTTAAGTCACTGGGAAAACAGGGTGAGGGTTAAACTGACACAAACAAAGCACATCTGTGGTTGGGTCCAAATGAGCCGTATTACCTCGCCGTCACACTTGGACAATGTATGTTATCAGGGTAAATACCCGCGCTGACGTGCTCGCGGGCTTAGCTTCAGATGACTGAGCTCACTTACTGAACAGTCGAACCGGGCAAATTGGATTTAAACCAAACCACACAGGTGAGGCGACGATGCGCCCAAGCCCCGGTTTGTTTCTCGCCCTTCGGAGTGGAGCTTCACCCCCCCCCCAGGTGTGAGCACCGAGGGCCCTCCCGCAGGGCGAGCTTCACACCGCCTTTGTCTCCCTCTTGTGGCCGAGAGAAACTACACGAACGGCCTCCACGCTGCCCCTCCCTGCGCGCCTGTGGACGGGCTCGGAAGAGCATTCTACGTGGACGCGTCTTTCCCGAGCGGACGCGGACGTATTCAGCATCATGACAATCCGTTGGCCGATGGCTTGAGCGTAAAACATCTGCGCGCAGCGTCAACATCTGTCGGGCTCCCATGCTCCGCCTTTTTGCAGTTACTGTAATCATGCACGTTGGCCTGTGGTAAAAGCGAGCTCCGGTCTACCTGGTTGACCCCTCCCACCACCAGGAGGCGGTCTCTGATGACGATGGAGGAGGTGGAGCATCGGGGGAAGTTCATTGGGGCCAGCCTCTCCCATTTCTTCTTCTGCGGGTGGAAGGCCTCCACCGTGTCCAGCGCCAGAGGCTCGTGACCTGGAAGAAGATCCAAAGTGTTTATTCCCTCACGCCAACACTTATGTGTACGTTCCGTTAATCTTTGGTTCGTCGCCAGTTAGACGCCACAGATTTAGTGACATTCAATCAATATTTGCAGCTAACCGGACGTCTGCTCTTACCGAGTCCTCCGGCTACAACCACCCGGCCGCGCAGGAAAGCGGCGGCGAAGTCAGCCCTCTTTGTTTTCATCGTCACCGTCTCGTCCGACTTCAACCAGGCGCCTGCAGAGGACGACGCAACAGCTGACATGAGCGGGCGTGTGTGTGTGTGTGTGTGTGTGTGTGTGTGTGTGTGTGGGTGTGTGTGAATGGGTGATCGAAGCAGCTCGGGGTTATTGGCTCAGTGGCAGCCGTGGTTTCTGGTCTGGCAGGACACGATGACGCTGAGCTTTGTTTTCTGAACGCGACCTGCGCAAACAGGTCAACCAAAAACCAGCTGCAGCCATGCACAGCACACACACACACACACACACACACACACACACACACACACACACACACACTTGACAAGTGAAAAAAACAAAAGGTTGGAACTAACACTGACTTCAAACAGACGGGGCAGCGGGGGCGGAGGGGTCGGCGTTAAGGGTCCCTGCATTACACCAGACCTCTAACGGCTGCAGTTCCTCTGACACCAGGTGGAGGTAATGAGTATGATTTAGCAGAAAATGAACAATAGTGTTTTATAAATCCCTGTAAAATTCATCTGGACTTTTATTTTGAAAGGTAGAACTCAACTTATTTTGAAAGGTAGGATATTGGTTTGGGTTCGATTAGATCACTTTTGTAGCAGTGTAGCTAAGTGAGCTAAGTTGTGTACGCAATGCAAAGTTAAGCAAATAAAAAAAACTCCTTACTAACAAAAAACGTCCTCCTTTACACCTGGTAGTGTAGTGTCTGCTGGTACAGTACATGACCCCTCAACAGCTTCCCACCCGTCACGCCGCTGCTGCCAATATGGAGGCTGGGAATTGAACCCGGGTGCACAGGGGCAAAGCGGTGAGCAGGTGCTTTTTCTTATCCACCGCCGAAACAGATATCGGCACTTTTTAATCCAAAAGTATTGGAACCAGAACGTTAAAAGATTTTTAAAAAGCAGTCATGCCGCAGGTGCAGAAGACATCGTAATTAAATCCCATCTCCCTAATTACCTGCCGCCTAAGACCGGCAATGAAAACGGTTCTCTAAAGACATTATGGAGCAGAAGTGACATTTTATTTCCAACTCAAGGCTGAAACACTCTACGTGATGAAAAGGAAATGAAGATAAAGCCGCAGTCGCTTCACAGCAGATTGTGCAGACGGTTTTTTTAGCTGCCAATTCTTGTTTATCTGAAGGACACCCTGACTGCAGAGAACGGTTACGGAGGGAAAACGATAACTCCATCGGGGGGGTCAGCGAGGGAATTAGGAAGGAGAACATCATTTTATTCTTCTTAACCTTTCTCATTCTCATTTTTTTCTCCAATTGTCTGCCGCCTCTCCTTCACGTCCTCCCTTATTCTCCCGTTGTTTTGCCTTGTTATTTCTCCCTCTCATTTATTCTCGATCTTTCCTTTTAAATAACAGGCAGCGACAGCAATGCGAAGGAAAGCAATAGATGTGCGGAGCGTGAGCGGGAGGTAAGCAGCCGGGTGGTGATGCTTCCCGCGTGGTGCAGCAGAGTGGAATGAAGAGCCGTGAACAGAATGAGATCACAGCTGGCCGTCTTCTCGGCAGAACACTCCACGCAGATGTTTCGTGCCGGTAACGTTTGTTATGTACTGACTGAGGGAAGCACGATACTGGTGCAAGACATGAAAGTAGGCATTTATACATGTATGCAACCAGCTTTAGAACATAACTTACTTTAGTACGTAACAATGTTCCTACGTATAAATGTGCGTGATAACGTACGTGATGATGTTAGTACGTGTGTGTGATCGGTGTAATATCTTTAGAACCGGAGCAACTTCAGTCTGTACCTACTTTTATTACAGTAAGTATACAAGTTTGTAGCAACATCTGTATTTAGTCAATAATTGACTGCTAGAACAATTCAATAATAAAGAATATATATATATATTCTTTTAATTTTGAGCTGGATGAATAATGAATAATACATAATCTAACAACAAAGTGACCCCTAGAATAAAGGTGCATTAAAACACACTGTTTTCACATCCATCAAGTGTATAAAGCAGGTTTGCACTTTTTCACCTCGCAAGCTACTTTCGAAATGCTACAAAACATCATCATATTACTTTCTGGAGTAACACACGAGACGCCTCCCTACCCCCCCCCCTCCGAAAATCTGGGATTGAAATGTTATTTTTCGCTGCGCTCCACCCTGATACGTGCGCATGAATTAATGGAGGAGAGTAAAGGGATGGAGGGGGAGACGGGGAGAGTACAGAGGGGGAGAGTGACAATAGGAAGGCCCGGCTTTGTAGCCTGTGTGGTCGGGGGTTCCGTCCACGGCTCTCCGCCGTAATTGTAACGAGGATTGCTTCTGCGTCTCTGGTGGATCCCGTCCGGTGTGTAAAAACCTCAAGGCGCTGCTGAGCGCACAGATGATCCTTCTGGACAGAATCTCCCCATTAATACTGTGGCATTTTTGAGAGCATGTTTGCTTCATTTCTGCTTGATTCCATCGGCTTTGAAGTCAGTTGGGTAGTTTTTAAGCGGGACATAAATAAAATATAGGCAACGTGTGAATATATTTGTGAGTAGTTGCCCCCAGGAGCACGGCGGGATTTGAGGTTCATGTGACTCTTGGCTGAGCTCCACATGTCTCACAGAAGCTTCTGATGTTTCTCTATTATTTACTTGAGGCGTTAAAAACAGTGGAATTCATAATTCTAAAATCATTGCCAACAGAAAGGCAAATGTAGAAGTTGTGTGTCTCATCTCATAATCCCCTTTTTCAACCACGCAGGAACTAAAGCGCCAGAGGAAATAAAGCACTTCTTCTTCCTGTTTTAACTTTCACAGCGTCGGAACTATGAAGAGCTTATTTTGCAATATTGACAGACAGAACTATCATAGAAATAGAAAGTAGTTTTGTTCCTTCCCATATTTCATTCACACATGTTTTTCCTTTTAGTACTGCCGGGAAGTGACCTTTCCTCTTGCCAAAATTGACAGTACTGTAGCTTTAACATCCCCCCCCAGTGCTGATATATTCCCTCAGGTGTTCCGGTGGGGAGCAGCGCCCCGCGATGTGACTGAGCGTCGTACGACACACAATCAAGCTCGAAAGAAAGAAAATAACGCTCGCTAACAGGCGCGTTATTTCAAGTGAAGACGTGCCGTCTCTGCACAGCGTGTCCCGCGCCGTCTCTCTGTCTCTGCCCTCTTGGTCATTAGAGGCAGTGCATCGAGCGAGCTAAATCCCCCCCCCCCCAAAAAAACAACAATCATATACTGGTTCGCCAAAAAAAAAAGACCTGGTTTGTATCTTATTCGGCTGCAAAATGTTTACTCCTGTTTCTAAAGACTTTAACAGCGAACTTTCCCGCCTTTTGTAAAATGAGCTCCGATCGGGCGCATAGTTGAAAAGATTCGGAGGCGCCAGAACCAAACGCTGCAGAGCCGCTTGCTCCTGCAGCGAGCACATTGTTCTGAGTCCTTTTAATGAATACGGAAATAGAACGAGTTTCTCGCGGCATTGTGGAGGAGGCAGACGGGAGCATCTAAACGGGGGCCATTTAATTGTCCAGACTGTGTTTGTATGTAGCCTATATATTGTGTATTTTAGAGATTCAAATGAAGGCACTTTTTTAAAAACTACTTTCTGAGGCCAATTTCTTAATTCCTTGTGTGGATTTTCTTGGTTCCTCCGTGCTCGTCGCAGCTTGCCCACAATAGCGACACATCATCCAACAGCCGCGTGTGTCCAGATACCGTCGACACGGAATGGAACAGTAATAGAATACCACAGCGTGACAGCAGATTGCATGGCCACACGCGCGTGTGTGTGTGTGTGTGTTTGTGCGGAGAGATATTGCTGCAGATGGATAATAAAGCAATCTGTTTCTGGATCTTGTAATTTAAAGTGCTCCTCGTCCCCCCTCCACCACCCGCACATCTCCCATCTCGTCTCCAGCTAAATTAGATCGGAGAAGCGGCGGCCGCGGACATGTGTATGTGCATGTTTGCACGTGTGTGCGACTTGGATGGCCTTTTTCTCCCCCTATCTCTCCCACCCGAGGCAACCCCCCCCCCCCCACCCTTCCTAATCTCACATGAACTTTTCCACTCCCACATTCTGCTTTATTTGGCTGCCGTTGGACCGTAAAGGAAACGTTTCAGAATGATTCCTAAGCTGTTCTATGAGCGTGAGATTGATTGATGTGTCCCTCACATCTGTGCGTTAGTATTGGTGGTTGTTATAATAGTAACCGATGCCAGGAGGGATTTAGCCTAGCTTAGCACAAAGACAGGAAACGGGAGAAAAGCAAATATATTAATATACAGACGTGTTTCGTACCTTGGTTGGTGTCAAAAATGTTCACGTTCTTGGTGAACTTGGAGCTCTGGTATCCTCCTCCCTGCCGCAGTCCTCCGGGCAGACACAGCCTCCCGGCCGCGTCCCATTTCACGCCCCCGTACGCCCGTTTACAAGGCATGCTGGGTAGTGTGGTCCAAGAGCGCGTCTCTGCATCATACACCTCGAAGGCCTCCACGGGTCGCTTACACTGACGCCCGCCTGAGAGACGTTATCAAACGAATAGTTATGATGCAGATGCCCGGTACGAATTCAGGGAACTCCCTTTTATTAAATTGGGGGGGGGGGGGGGGGGGGCAGGGGGGGGTCGTACCTGCTACGTAGAGCTTGTTGCCCAGCAGATGCGTGTTGGCGTCGTAGCGAGGGGTCGGCATGGGAGGAAGCAGTGCCCACACGTCCTTTCGAAGGTCGTACTGCTGCAGGATGCTACGAGGGAGCAGGTCGGCACCCATTCCCCCCACAGCCAGCGCCCGGCCATCTGCACGCACACACACACACACACACACACACAGGACAGGACACAATTAGAAAGCCACTATTTCCCTCTGATGCAATGTCTGGATGAAACACAGCTACTCCAAAAATATCTTAAATGTTCAATTCCTCTTGTATGATTACAAGCGCCGCCCTTTTCTTCCAGAGCAGCCGTCAGTCATGATGTCCTTTTTCATAACAAATACTTTCTCAACACCGAACCTATAAATAAATTAACTTATGAACGTGATGAGAACTACCTGAAGGACAGAAACCATCTTTACACACAATATGTTCATGTCCGCTAACATGGAAGGGGAGGGGTTTAAGAATTCTACCGCGGTCGGCCACCAGGGGGCGATGAAGATGTTTTGGTTTCACTGTCACGTTGTGCGTCTTTGTGCACAGCCGGGCCACTAAAATGAGTCAAACAATAACAACCGCGCTCAACAATGAGCAGCTTGCCAAAGACCAATCCCAGCAGATGGAGACACCTCGTTGGCACTTTAATTTACAAAGTGATAAGAATCTGAGGAGTTTGTGACGCAACAAGAGGCCCGTGGCAGACACTGGAAGGGAAGGGAGGACGGCGGCAGCGTGATAGAACACGAGAGTCCACGTCTGGCACCTCGGCGTCACACCTTGACCCCAACAACGCAAGTGGGCGAGAGAGTGTGCGCGAGAGCGAGCGAGACTGTAGCACTGAAGGGTGAGGAGGAAAAAGTCTGCAGTTCGTAATGTTTGTCTTTAGTCATTTAACTGGAACTTCTTTCCAAATGATACACATTTACTTATACAAAAAAGGGTGGTAAGTTGCAAAAAAGAAAAAAAGTCATTACCCCAGAGCTCATTATCTTGGAAATAACGACTCCACAAATGCCAATATCCAATCGGTGACCGACTATGCATTCAGAGATGCCATATTTGTTTTAATTTGGCCCCATCGATCATTTTGGCAGACGATTCGTCTTGTTTTTGTTGTCTGGGGATGAAACCGCGAGCAGCGGCTCCGGCGATGGGGAGATTGGTTCGGAGGATGGAGGATGGCGGAGGCCGCCAATAAGTCTTTGTGTACACGCGATTTATCTGTGTTCCAGCAGATGCTGACGGAGGCACCGCTGTGCCGAGCACCGGCTCTGTTTGTCTGCTGCAACCGAATGTAGGAGGACAAATGTGGACGTCACGGCCCAAAGACTACTCCACGGCCACCGGGGGGGGGACATGAGAAGACGTGCGGGGTGTCTGATTAGGTCACGTTTCACGACACATCTCGCGGGCGTACCTCGCAGGGTGATGGACAGGCCCATCAGGGCCTCCCGCAGGGCGCTTCTCTTCCTCCACCTGCCTTCCTCCGTGTTGTACATCTCCACCACCTTCAGGGGGCTCTGGTCCTCCCCCACCCCGCCCACCACAAGGATCTGCTTTCCCAGCACGACCACGGCCGCCCCGGCGCGCGGGGTGGGCATGGGGGGCAGGCTCATCCAGCGGTCGCCCTGCGGACAGCCAGAACCATGTGTTAGCGGGGGGGAGTCCTCCGTCGGTCGGGATTTTTATCTAATTTGATGCACCACCCTCAGTGCTGGGATTATACGCAGAGCTTGTTTATACACAATTTAAATCAATTGATTTGTCAGTGTCTTCAGGGGTGCGGGGGGGGGGGGGGGGGGGTAAAGGTAAATTACAATTCCAATTAATCCGGGTAAATTTGCAGGGAAAAATAAAATGTAACAATGTTAAGGTCCCATTTCAGGAAACCCGAACATTTATTACCCAAATATGTCATAAAAAAAAAAACCGACTTGGGGGGTGGGGCCTAACATCCAACATTTGACTGAATTCTTTCCGAACAGGAAGCACCATCAGATGGAGCGTGCGTGCTGCACTGGTTCTGGTACCTCGGGCGAGTAGAGATCCAGGGACGGGCAGGGCCTCCCGGCAGCGTCGCAGCCCCCCAGCACGTACATCTGCCCCCCCACCTCGGACAGAGTGTGGTAGACGCGGCCGCTGGGCAGTCGCGCCAGGCTCTGCCAGTGGAACTCGTGGGCTGAAGGCACGGCCATGGCCGCGGCGCCCCGGGGAGGGGGTGGGGCAGGGGGACTCAGGGGGGGCCGACGGGGGAGGCCAGAGTCAGGGAGGTTTTTGATTGATCGGCAGGAGCTGAGGGGATGGAGGTTCCCACTCCCCCCCACCCCCACCGCCGGGATGAGGGAGCGGTTCTGTAATCAGTGGAGGTGAGCGGCAGGAGGGTCGGATCAATTACAGGCCGAGCGAGGCTCTCTTCTCCTGGGGAGGGCGCTCCGCCTCACGCCGGGCCCTGGGGGGGGGAGACACCGAGGCAAAGCGGATTAAACGGTGCGATAGGCAGAGAGAGAGAGAGAGAGAGAGAGAGAGAGAGAGGGGGGACACATGTCGGAAGCGTCTGCAGCGAAGACAAGGAGGATCGAAAGCTGCAAAGTATTTGAGTACATTCCCTCCAGTACTAAAGTGCAGCTTCACGCTACACGTCTAACCTGGAGGAGTTTCTACGAGGACGCGGCACAATGACCCGACACTTCTCAGGGCTCAGCAATCAGGATTGCCCGGTGCTGGTGAAATGCCACGTTGGCCCAGCGAATTGGAGCGCCTCCAGCAAGGGAAAAGTAATAAGACACATTGATTTTTCAGGAAGGAGCTAAGGAGTGAGACACCTCGCTTCTCTCTCTGTTGACATTTGCATGGACGGTTTCAGCCGCCCTGAAGACGTGGTGGAATCCTGCGTGGTGTTGGAGGACGTGGGTCAAACTGCAGCCGCATTTACTAAAGTAAAGATTAACTTGTTATTTTGTATAGCCCAAAATCCCTCAGAGGGCTACAGAGTCTGTACACAACCCTCCCCTTTAAAGGGGAAGACTTCCAGGATGGACAGAAGAGAGATAGATGTCATGTGGACAGAATGAACAGTGTAAAAGGAGATTTGTATCGGGGCCAGTAATGTAAGAAAAAACACATCACGGTGAACTCATTTATATTCATACATATTCAGCTTTTATATTGAAAATCCTTCAAACAACACTTCCTCTGTGCGACTCTCACTCTTGTTTCCGACGTTGTCTCCCTGGAAACAAGTCCCATCTCATGAGATTTTCAGAGCGAGACCTCCTGGAGATCGCCTTGAGCGAGGCCATTGGCTCAGGAGAATTACCCTTCAAACAGCCCCCCCCCCCCCCCCCCCAACGTAAAGGACTACTTTATAAGGATTTCCTTCACGTATGTAATCCCCTAAGAAGCCGTGGGGTTCCAACCTGGAAGGCTTCTTTTAGTCCGGTATGTAGTGGATGTTGGAGAGTGAGTAGGAGCTGATAACACCACCTCCCAGCTGACAAAACTCCATCCTAAAACGGGAATTGAAGATAAGGTAGTTGAATCATTACCTCATTATAGGAATTGGGGGTGTGATGAACGAGAGAAATACTTTAAATCACTCAAAGAAAGATTAAGATAATTCAATTTTGAATTTCAGTTTGAGATTTATCGACTACAGAACCAGTTAAAAGATTTTGACGGCCCAAACAAATTTGGCCCGGAATTCTTGCGAACAGCTTCCTACAACCGAAGCATAATTGAGTGGATTGTACAGAAGAAGTGGAGAAAAATTGACCC